ACACATCACAGCTATAATTGATCTCTGATGCATCGAAAACACTACCTGAACAACAAGGGTCCAGACACAGAAGGCTTAGTTGCATTCTTCCGCGTTTGATCAGCTTCGCCAGGTGATTGGTAAAGGCCTATGACAGCTGCGAGGACGAAGAGCGAGACTCGTTGAAATGATCGCTCGGCGTTATTGGCCGTCGTCCACGACGTAAGCCGACAGGCAGCCGGCCGCGCCGCCCAGCCCGGCCGCAGCACCGGCGCACACTGCGGTCAGTGACTGGACGACGGCGCTGCGCCAGGCGATTACAGCACGCTTGTTCCCACCGGAAGCGGCCAGTTTCAGTTGCCGTCCTGCGATCGCCTCGGGCAAATGTGCGCGAGAGCTGGCAGTCGGCCTGATGCAGGACTCGGGCTCAGGCGTCTCTCTGCTCTGTTTCGCTATTTGTCCCTTTGGGCTGCGTTGGTCGCAATAGCCATCTCCCTTTCTCGGCCCATCTGGACGGTCATATCCTCGGCTGTCTTGTTCAGGGTTACTCGGTGCTTGTGGAACACACTGTTTCAGCCGCATGCACTGAGCGTCCTGGCTCTTCTTGTCTTACGAACCCTCTGACCTGCATGCAGCACTCCATCAAGTCCGGCTGCGTTCGTGCTCCCCATTTTTGTGCTCGGGTGGTCGGGCTCGGGAGGTGTGTGGGATAGCAGGGCCAACGCGCCGCCCTTCAAAAATGTAATTTTTGCGGCTGCTTGTACACAACAGAAGCCCGATCACAGATGGTTCCATCCCCTTTTTATTGGGATAAATCGCATCACTTTGCCGGACTTTTAGCGAGCAGTTGGATCAGTTCAGATACAGGGGCCTAGTTTCGCAAATTGACCTGGGGAGGCTGAACAGTGAAAAATGAATCCACCAACCTGAAAACACACCATCAAAATGGTTCCTCCCAGAATTTGGCCTAATTCACAATAAAGTGTGGCGTAGAAGGGGGATGGAGCCCAAGTCAGGCGACCCCCCCCCCCCCAAATTGAATAGGGAGCTGCACCCGTCGTCAGAAGACAGCTTGAATGACGTCAGAAGGCTGTTGTCACAAATATCGTCATTTCACCTTTTAGCACACCCACTCGCATTCTTGGCTGAGCATCGATAGGGATCGACACAAGCCTTTGATAGCTGAGGATTGAGGTCGGTTAATTGGCGTGAATACGAAAACCCGTGTTCCAGTTTCGTCCCGGGGAATATTCAAAAGTAGCACCGCTGACCCAGCTACCGACGTTTGGTAGTGCCACTATACGTCACGCATGAAAGCACGTTGGTCCCATCCATGCATGGAATGAGGTGCGGGCACGATTACCTGATTCACCTGCTCATGTTCCGGAAAGAAGGACATAGGCGCAGTTCGAGGCCCACAAACGTCATATCGTCGACGCCGTGCTACATGCTGCGGCCAGATTTCTCGTGTGAACTGGTTTCATTCCTCACCACCAGAAATAGATCACGCGGCTGCCCGGCCAGCCTGGCCGCGACCCCGCCATCTCCTCACCCCGGAGACCACTCGCTGCTCCAGAACGCCGCGTCTGCACAGGCGCGCTCAGGCCTGCGCCGCGCCCGGGACCGTCTGCGTGCCTCTTCTCCGGCTGCGGTCATGAGTCACGAGCGCACGTGACCCGGCCGCGCCGGAAAACAACAGCCACGGCCGGCATCGGGTCCGATTTTTGACCCGCCCGACACCGTTAACCCGCGAGGTCGGCGTGGCGATCCGCCGCCCCGGCCGGACCAGGTCAGGGCCGGGCCTGCGACATGTCGGCCCGGCCGGACGGAGACCTAAGGTGTCGGCGGACGGCCTCTCGTCACACATCAAAAGAGTATGGCTCACGCCTGGGCCCATCGTCTACTTCATCCCACGACAAATCAAACAGATTACCGCAAATGGCGCCTTAAAACCGTTAAAATCATGCCTTCTCCTTACCCACCCCATCAGCCTCCCCGCGCCTCCACCCGCGACCTCTGCCCGCCCCGCCCGCATGCGGCGACGAGCGACGCGACCTTGCGTGACGTCACCACCCGCATGGCGGGGAGGCCGCACCAGCACCGCGCCGCCACCGCCCTCGCGCCGCTAGCCGCCGCCACCCTCGCGCCGCTGACCGCCGCCGCCGGAGCGACGCTGACGGCGTCATTACGGCGCCGGCGGCGGTGCACCGTTACGCCGGACGTGCGCCGGCTCCGGGCACCGCCCTCACGCACTGTGCGTGTAGCGTGGCCTCGCTGCGTGCGCCGCCGCCACCCGCCGCCGCCCACCGCCGCCGGCAGCCGGCAGCCGACGCCGCTCACTCCCTGCTCGGTGAGGGCTCGCCATTGATCCGTCCGCTGCTGGCAAATTGTGCCCACGTCAAGCCCCGTGTGGAATAGCCGGCTGGGTCAGTCAATCCCTATCTGTTCGACTGTTCACGCCTAGGTGCGGTGCGCGCGTACTGAAGTCATCCAGGGCCCACACTGGGCCGCAGTATGTGTACAGAGCACAGGCTAGGTGAGCACCAAAACATCAGGGATGAGAACTGTGAATGACAGCGACTCATTGATGAGGCGCTCTCCAGGTCGTGCTCATGGGACTGCTTCAGCTCCGCCTCACAAAACGGCACGTTGGCAAGCGAGTGCATTCGGCAGGGACCGCCAGGTCAATCGTCCCTCTCAGTCTAGGAGACGGGCGCCGCCCCTCTGTGGCGACAAGACACTTCGACAGCCTCAGCCGGTGCTTTTTTCAAAGTCCAGCGCCGAGCGCTGACCTTACTGGAGCGTCAGAAGCGCGCGGTGGCCACCGAGACGGCCGCGCATCGGCGCGCTCGCCGCTCGCCGGGCGTGGAACATTTCCAGAACTGGGTAACGCCGCTGAGCGCAGCCATCTGGCACGGCCAGCCCACTTCCCGGCGCGGTGGCGGCCGGCGTCCGGCCCGGCCGCCGGGAAGCGGAGCGCGCCGAGCCGCGGCGGAGAGCTGTTTCATCTGGAGCGTGGGTGTGGCCGCCGTTGGTTGTGACGGCTCTGCGCTGGCTGAGCGCGAGCCTTAGTGTCGCTCAGGTTTGGGTCGGTAGGCCGACGGCTTCAGCGGCGCTCCAAGCTCGGCTCTGAGCTGGACGTCTCTGCGCCAGCCGAGCCGGCCTACCGCCGCGCCAGCTAATGGCTCGTGGCATGATATATCCCCCGTGTAATTGAAATAGTCACGCGTGCGCGGACACAACGCCGTCGGTTCGTTTGGCGTCCGCAGTAAATCCACACGGCTGGCGGGCTCCCGCACAAAAACGCCGGCGGCCGGGCGGCGCGCAGCCCGATCGCTGGCCGCAGCTGTGTGAGCGATGGTCCATTTACCTACCTGGTGGAGCGGCCTCCAGCGCCGACCACTCGGCAGGGGGGCGGCGAGACGCGGCGGGACGCGCCACTCAAAGGCCCGCCACAATGCCTGCTCTCATGCATTCGGCGGCGACGCCGCGTCTGCCGGAGAGGAAGGGCTCACCGTGTCCGATTTCAAGCGGCATTCTCATCAAGGGCTCGCATACGATGAATTTGTGACAATGATTTGCCGGCCCAGCGGTCGTAACGCCCGGGCTTAACACTTCATAAGGGACGCGGCAAAAACAACCCAGCGAAGCTTTACACAACAGCCGACCCCAAACACCTCGCACAAAGGGGTTGTGCGATGAGATATACATCACGGTCCGCCGCCTGCCCCCATCAATCCCGTCGACAGGTGGAATGCGCGTACTCACGCATTACCGTCACCGCACGCCCGGCGTGGTTACGCGCAAAAAGCCCTCGCCGCCTCGCCGCCGGAAGACAAAGGCGGCGCGCCGGAGAACTAGTCGGCCGTGGGGGCTCGACGCGCCTAACGGGCCGTGATCTTTGCCGGTATTGTCCGAGGTCCGATACAAATCGGCCGGACGCACCGCCGTCGCGGTACAGACCGGCCGGACGCACCGCCGTCGCGGTACAGACCGGCCGGACGCACCGCCGTCGCGGTACAGACCGGCCGGACGCACCACCGCCGCGGTACAGACCGGCCGGACGCACCACCGCCGCGGTACAGACCGGCCGGACGCACCGCCGCCGCGGTACAGACCGGCCGGACGCACCACCGCCGCGGTACAGACCGGCCGGACGCACCAGACACCCGCCGCCGGGCTGGCCGTCCGTGATGGCGCTGCGCGCTCAAGACTCCAGCTCCCGGCGTGACAGCTGGGCTAAGACGGCTGGAGAGGTTCTCACTGCCGACCCAATTTAAAGGGCTGTGTCGCCGCCCCTTCACTCTGAGGTCGCGCTGTGTGGCACGAACACGACACGTCCGACTCCGCTGGGCCGCCTCCCGAGTTGGCCAAAGAGGCTCGCCAAACAGGACAGTTCACACCGTTTTTGAATCACGCGTTCCGTAACACATTCTGGGCGAGCGTCTCCACTTTAGGATAGCAAAGCGCATAGGCACTTTTCTTTTCCATCGCTTCCGTTTGTGTGAAGCAGACTCAGCTTCGGCAGCCTCAGCGGCGTCGCTTTGGACCTACGTTTGACCGCGCTGGACGGCGGACGTAGTTGAAGCTGCTCCGGCCCAACGTGTCGGGCCGGCGCCGAACTGACCGCACGGCCCGGCGTCCCCCTGTCAGCCATTGGGAAAACTCTCACCTGGGTGCGACTAATCTGTACCGGTCCTCCATCGGCGCCAGTCAACGACCACATTCCCACATTGTGTCAAGACGGGGGGCCATCCAATCTGCGCGCGATGAGGTGCACTCACGGCAGGGACTGTGACGCCCGCACTGATCACGGCAGGGACGTGTGACGCCTATACTGGTCACGGTACTCCTCTCATCGAGCTGCCATCCCGCCCCGACCGGAAACGAGAGCGACATTCGTTTGTCGGAGGATGACAAAAAAAACGCGAAGGGCCGCCATTTGTCCCCACCTGCTCAGCAATCGAGATGAGCTGATTGCCTTGTGGCCATGCCTAACGAACCGCTTCCGTTGGTTCCAGGTGATCGAAGATGGCGCGCCCGGGGTCCGAGGGCTGGAGATTCGTGGACATCGCGGTCACGATCGCACTCGTCGCAGCCACACTCTCAGCGTGCGATGGTATGTACTGTGTTTCACACACTCCGCGTGAAGTAGTACGTGTCTTGCGGCTGAATACTATTATCTACGCTACGGATCTGGGTTCACACATTGTGCGCGGTAGAAGGCTATCACTCGCGTACCGCACTCCGAATATGACAGCTTTAAATGCCAGAAGTATTGCACACTCAGCTGCTGGTGCACTTGGCTCAGGGACCACTTCGCGACGTAGTTTTGCAAAACCAGCAGCATCATGTGAAAAAGGATGACGCAAGTAACCAATGACACCACATTCCTTGACCAGTTTGTAAATTCTTGCAACACCCAACCCCACACCATAATATACTACGGTATTTGATGTCAAATGTTTAGGGCGATCAACCTAGCCGTTCAAATTCCCTGTGCATTCCTTTCACAAAGCTGTTCAGCGCGATTTTCTCACGCGATTGTAACAGAACCTGTTACAGGAAGCGGACCGCTAGCGTTGCATATGGCATGCGACTGGTCATCAGCTGACTAACATTATCGGTTCTGACAGCGGCCGTGGCGTTCGAGAAGCTGACAGATATGGACTACAGGGGCAACACCTACTACACCATCCGCAACTTGACCCTGTACGAGTGCCAGGGCTGGTGCAGGGAGGAGCCCGAGTGCCAGGCAGCCTCATTCAGGTGAGAGCTACGGCAGCGTCTCAGCCGGTGGGGAGAAGAGCCCGAGTTTAAAAACTCTAACTCTGATGAAGCAGATTACGTCTGAGAATGATCTCTCACTTACTAAAGACATCAGTATGTCGGCTTCGAAGCCACGCACGCATCGGTGGAAACTAGAGCTGTTGCTTCGCCAGCGATGTCCACCGCCGCCGCGGCGCCCGGCACAGGCAGCAGAACCCGCCTCATGCCGTCTCGAGCTGGCTGGCCAGCGGTCGGCACAGGGGGCCGTCGGGCGGGGGTGACCCGCAGAGGTCAGCCACCGCCCTCCGCACGAGCGGCCGCGCTCCTGGCACCAGCCGTCAAACCAGAACCGACGCGAAATGGCCGGCTCTTCCTGCCCCGATCGACCCGGGTGGTTGTCTTGAACGCGGCAGCGGCGTGGCCGTGTCGTAATGGGTGCACCCGGCGTTGCAGCTTCGTCACGAACCCACTGACGCCGGTGCAGGAGACGGTGTGCTTGCTGCAGAACGAGACGTCCGCCAACAACCCGTCGGCCCTGCCTAAGCCGGCCGTCAGCACCTACTACATGATCAAGCTCAGAATACGCTCCGGTGAGGCACCGACATTTAACACTTGGCTCATTTTCTACTGTCTGCAACTTTTTTGTGTCTGCTGTTCGACTCATCACGTGCCAAACGATTTGTATTCACCTCTTGCACGGGTTAGCCTCTTCTGCACAGGTTACATGCGCTTCCCTTGAGAAAATATCGACCAGCGCAACGTTTTGATAGGTATGAATGAAAAACATTCAGGTAATGTCGCATAGATCATCACTTGACGCTCCAGGATCCAGGCCTGTTGAACGTCACTCCACCTGCTTCGTGAAATAACTAGTGCTGCTTTGAGACACACTCGGACTCGGGAAGGTCACTGACCAGCAACCTGCACTGCTGATTCAATTGCTCCAGTACCGTATCCCAACGGCGGCCACGCTGATTCCCGAGGGGTCCTGCTTTCTGCGAATCAGCGCATCATCCTTGCTAACTGTGCCCTAAGGCGCACCAATTATGCTCTGATCGGCCGCGTAAAGGGTCGCTCTCGGCTGTCACGTGATCGCCCCGGGGTCATTGCTCGGGTCGTTCAGCGGTTCAGCACGCAGACCTGAGCTCGCTGAGCGCTCAGCCGACCCCATACCCCCGGCCGAGCCCGGCTTGTCCCGGCCGCGGTGACTGACCGACGTCTGCGCTTAGCCCGCCGTCGGGCGCCGCTGTCAGCGCCGCACGCCCGTCTGTCGGCGCAGCACGCTCCATTTTCCGCGCTGCCGGCGGCGTGGACAGCCAGCGCGTCGTGACCGGCGCGCGGGTTCCATCCCGGCGCCGGCGACTGCACGACACTCATCCCCTGGGGCTGTTGACCTCGGGCCAATGGCACGCGGAGGCCAGCTCCAGCTGGCCGTCGTGCGCGTCCTCGTTAGGCGTCACAGTCGACGGCGCGCTTTTTATCTGATTCACGCGGCGCAGCTTCGCGCTCGGCGAACCGCGGTTCACCACGCAGCCACGATTCTGCTCGCGCCCGGCCAGCAGGACGTTGTATCTGACAGCTCGAGGGCTCCGTCCCGCGAGCGGCTGGACGCCTGCCCGCCAGCCGCCAATCGCGGCGATATTATGCCGGGCGCGGCGCGCGGTCGTTTAACGGTGCCGGGCGGCGGCGGGCGCCGTGCTGTCGTTAGCCGTACTTCGTCACGGTCTGCCGGTCTCGGCCGGACCCGGCTCCGGACCCGGCTCCGGCTCCGGCCCTGGCCCCGGCCCGGCCGGCGTGGCCGCCTCCGGGAACGGCGGCCATATGCTGGAGTCGCGGCGGCCGGTCCATAACTTCCAGCGGCCTCAGGGCGGACCATTGTTGGCCAGTCGGCGCGGGTGGAGGCTGGGAGCCCAGCCCGACCCCTTCGCCACCGGTCAGCGCGGGTAGAGGCTGGGAGCCCAGCCCGACCCCTCCGCCGCCGGTCGGCGTGCGGTTGAGGTGATGCCCGGCCACGGAAGACACGCTGTGCGGACGTTGGCCACTGACAAGGTCGCATGCTGCGTCTCCTTCAGAGAGCGTCCAAACATGTACATTGGGTCTTCTTCAGAGGCAAACCAAACATGTACACCAGATATATCAGCCATCATCAGTCAGTCACACACATCAAAATCCCACTTGTAGCACCTGCACGTTATTAGCATGGCTTATCACTTACCGCCTTGTAAATTGCTTGCTAATGTTAAGTGTCACTTAACGGATATTTGTCACCGGTGACAGCACAGATAATAGGCTGGGGATTTCCACAACCACCAGCTGGAGACAGCAATGATTAATTGCCCGTGGCCGTATACGCCATCATGGTGGTACAGCAGACTACATTCATCCAGTAGCCAAACAACGTTTCGCTGGTTCTGTTGTCTATGGACATGCGGCTCACAAGTAGCCGAAGATTTCCGAAAAGCCCATGCCCTCAGTGTTTTGTCGCTGATTTGGGATAAAGCCTAAGATAAATGTCGTGTGCGGTCTTGTTTTCATGTTATGCATGACGTTTGAAAGGTTGGTGAGCTAGCGAACACAGTACGCGCGTGCGTAACTGACGCCTGCTCTATTGCTGTCTAAGGTCACTGGTATGCATACGTACGCACCTGTCTGTGGTAAGTCCCTCGTCGTCCGCTTTCCTCCCTCTCACCTCTCTCCACGCACGCACGGCTGGCTCCCTGGCGGTTCGTCCGTCACTGAACCGTTGAGCGGAAACATTTACGTGGCGCGTGCGCGCCGATTAGCCGTCGTCGCGCGCGTCCGGGCACCTGTCTTGTGCTGCGTCGCCCTCTCCCGCTGCGCTGTTGTGCGCCGCCTCGACCGTTGGGGTCACCGGCGCGTTCGCCGAGGTGTGACGGCCACCGGCGAAAAAAGGAGTGAGGGGGAGGGGGTCGATGCAAGGACGAGGCGGCCGAGTGACCGCCTGGGAGGGGACTGTGGCCTGCGGTGATGTGGTGTCTTCAGAGGCGAGGCGGGATCCGGAGGCCGCGCGAGCTGCCCTGAACACGCAGCGCGACACCGACAAAGCGCACGACGCCGAACGGTTGAGGCCAGGATCGCCTACCCGTCGCAACATTTCCGGACCCGCCGTGATCTGACCGCTGAGCGTGAGCGACGGTTTCAATAGCAGCCTGCTGTGCGTTGCAGACAACGTTTGCAACCGTCCTTGGACGTTCGAGCGTCTGCCCAAGAAGATGCTGCGCGGCCTGGATAATGCTCTCATGTTCACCTCGACCAAGGAGGCTTGCCTGGCCGCCTGTCTGAACGAGGTGAGCCTCCTGTCCGGCTGCGTGTCTGAACAAGGTAAGGAGCCTGTCCGACACGCTGTTCGAATAAGTGGAGTCGCTGGAGTCGGTAAGTGAAGTCGCTGGAGTGGAGTGGAGCGGAGTACCGAAAATCTTTTAAAATATTCGGGGTGAAAATGCCATTTTGGGTATAATCTTTAAACTCAACGTCATTCACCTTAAGCCGGTTTTCTGAGATGCTCCAATCAAACCACACCCATTGTCGCCGGGAGACCGTCTATCTGGACGAGACCAGGTGACGTCCACCCAACCGTTGGAATAGGCTGACCATCGTCCCGAATTAACGGCGTGATCAAGCAACCGTGGAATTACTACTAGGCCTGTAGTGAGCCTGTCCCGTGGGACAATACTGTCCGTCTCCGGTTCGGAGTGATCCACCATGACTGGCCGCCTGGCGTACATAGTCTGGCGGCCGCAGTGTTTGTCCTCGCACAGGTTCATCGACCTTTCTGACGGTGACGCGTCCTACAGCTGCTTGGAATAAAAAACAGTTACTTCCTGTTAAAAATTGTTTTGCACCCCGGATTTGTGCCAACGTCTCATGACCCGTCCGGTACCTTAAAAGGCTTTCGAGTGACCCATAAAGCACAGAGATTCAACTGCCTGTGTTGATGGAAAGTCTAAGACGTCGCAATTACACTCACAATTAAAGCTGGTGGAACATTAGCAGCATTGGCTTGATTGGCATGCCCCTTTCTTTCTCAACTCTGTCAGCCAGAATGTTAATGGTTCCCACCCTGCCACGCCGTTGTCGCAGTGCTGTCCGCCCGAAACGAGCCGTCGCCTGCTGAAAAAGCCTCATTAGCCGGTTACGATAGGATTCAATTACGGCGCGTAACCGGTCGCTGCGGCGATCTCAGGCTCGGGCCACAGCGGCTGCGCTACCGCCACTTAGCTGCCCCGGAGCCGGGCCGTGACCCAGACCGGCCAAACGGACCGCGTACCGGGCGGGGCGTGCGAACGTCACCTAGCGGCGCGGTGATGTCTCGGACCGCGCGCGCAGCGGGATGGTAACGAGTCACTCGGCTCCCGTTAATCACGTGCTGTGTTCGCACCTGCCAGGGGATCCCATTGACTTGGTAGCGGGATCAGCTCTACAGCGGCGGCATGTGGCCACGGCCGTTTGTACACGTCAGCCCGACAAAGGAAACGCGCCGGCGAATTTACGAGCGTCATTATGGGTTCTTATGCTCTCGGTTTATTAAAATTTAGACGTGCTGCAATTTGTTAGCTTGCTGCGACCGCGTCGGGACAGCAGCCGCAATCCCGTGTTTCGGAAAATCCTAACTGAAGGAAGCATATGGCCCTCGTTAATCTTCGTCGTAAAGCACGGCAGAGGACGAGGAACAAACAAGATGTGGCCATGGTCTTACCTTGTCATAGCCCGCTACTCCTCGGACTCAACACAACGCGGGTGACGCCGCGGTGTCGATTTCAGCGCCGGTTCCCGTGCCGCTCGGCCGAGTACAGCTACATGACCCTCCAGTGCCACCTCTCCGAGCACGACCGGCGCTCCGTCGACGAGACCATCGAGATGGTGGACGCCGACCAGGTCGACTACTTCGAGAACCTCTGCCTCACCGGTGAGTGCCCGCTCGCTGGCGGGTGGCCGTCACCGCCAACGCCGCCGAGTGGGAGGTGGACGTCGTTCGGGATAGACCTGACATTTGGAAGTCAGCCACTGGTGTCACGGAGCGCTGCACAGAGCTCGCACAAGGAATTAAGAGCGAAGGCAACCTCAAAGGCCCAGCTACCATCACGGTTTGCATCATCGTAGAGAGTACGGCAAGCACTGCAGAGCTCTGAGCTAGCACTACAGAGTTCATCCTGAGCAAGGGTGGAGTCCCTTTAAGGTTCCGTTCCATGCGCTGGGCAAGCGCTCACGCCTAGCTGGATGCCAAGGCCCACTCAAAACCAAACAGCACCAATCGATCCGCCCTTTCTCAGTCACCACAACAGCCCATAGTCTCCGTAACGAGTCACGGCGCTGAACCCGATTCATTTGGGCTGACCCGCGCCCGTCTGCGGGCACTCAGACCATCGTAAACACCAATTAACATTTCAAGCGCCTGTTTGTAGGCCCATGCAACGAAGATAAGGTTTCACTCCACCTTGTACCGTTTACGAGTGGCTTGATGTGAGACGAGATAAGCCCAGCCGACACAATCAGCGCTATGTTACCGCCCGGCATCAGCCAGCCATTGCCAGCGCCGCTCAGATCTGGCCCATCCCTGCCGTCGCACCGGAACATCTCAGCCCATCTAGAAGAGCTCTCCGCAATTGCACAGTCCTAGTAAGGCTCGTCCGGCCGAAGAGCCCTCCACGGGCACGCCGACCGTCGTTGCGGCGGAGGGCCGCGTCCACAGGCGGGCCACGTGCGACCGGCGTCACCAGCCGTTCCCCTCGCGCTCGGGGGCGCGGCGGCCGCCTTTCCGTACCCTGTCGCCGTGACGGCACAGCCGCCTATCCGCGCGGGGCCGTTACCCGTGTCCGCCACCGCCCAGCCCGGCCCGTTACCACGGCTGGGGACACGTGCTGCACGGGCGCCGCTCGCGCTATGCATTCCCACGCAGAGTCCACAGATAAGGTCCAGCGCGTCCGAGGCGGGCGGCGGTAGCCCACGGTGGTGTGGTCGGACGGCCGAACGGCTCCCCAATGCAGCTTCACGTGTTGACTGCGACTGTGGACGATGGCCACTTGAGGATCATTGGTGGGAAATGCATTTCAATGGCAGGAATGGCAATGCAGCATATCCTCCAGTTAAACTGACCAGGACCTGAACCAAATGTGGTAGATGGCGTAAATTGTCGTGTCAAATAGATACATTGCTAAATAAGGAATCTAAGACCGGCTTACATAACAGCATTGGCAGCATATCAATTTTCGCAGGCATCCCAGTGTCTATTCATGGAATGTGGTTCCGGACTCGCTGAGCATTACGCGATTTTCGCCATTTTGTTTCGGCTCGCCCGGTCCGGGAGTTGCAGCCGCCCGTTCCGCGCGTTCCGGCCGTTCTGTCGGCGCCGTTGGGCCGCACCGGGGCGTCGTTTGTTGGAGGATGGCGACTGAGTGGCGCGCCAGGTGCGGCGATCCTACCGTTAAACGGTGAAGGGGCCGTCAACTGAGGCCAGATGGCGCCGAACAGCGGCGGCGGCGGCACGATCCGGTGACGGCGCAGTCTGCTGCTGAGTCACAGCAGTCTGCTGCTGAGTCACAGCAGTCTGCTGCGGGGTCACAGCAGTCTGCTGCTGAGTCACAGCAGTCTGATGCCGAGTCACAACGGTCTGCTTCGGGGTCAGAGCAGTCTGCTTCGGGGTCACAACAGTCTGCTTCGAGGTCACACCTGTCTGCTACTAGGTCACAGCAGTCTGCTGCGGGGCCAGAGCACAGTCTGCTGCAGGATCAGAGCACAGTCCAAAAACGGCCATAGACACCACTGGGGTCGCTGAGGTCGTATATAACGTATGGGACGATATGGGACGTGTGGGACGATTAGTCTGTTTTTGTGATTTGACCAATCAAGCACCACCAGAGGTGGTTATACCTCAGTACATTCGAATGCGTGGTTGCACTCGTCAGTCTGCAGTCAAAGATAGACACCTTTAGGTCACTGGATATCTCCTCCACCTGAGAGACGCAGGAGCTGTCTACACCGGTCACCTACTTCTTAGCTGTTTGAACGTGATCCTTCTCTTGGGTGGTCACTCTGTAACTCGCGATGCTATCTACCTGAAGCTAGTTCCTAGCTGTCGCACTGCGACTATAATGAAGTTTTATGAGCATTTACCGACCTATTTGATTAACGGTGAATAGAACTGGTTGGGCTCATTTGGTGCCCAAAAGTTCAGCGATAAGAAAACCTGGTCAGCTCAGTACGAAACGGTACTGGACAAGCCACAAGAAGTACTACTGCGTGCGCTAGGATGGGCGATTTAGGCCGAGTTCTAAGAAATGCCGGCAGATGGCACCACACAGTCAGCCGGTAGTCATCTTTGCGCCCTGCACGCAGGCTTTGAAAACCGGGCGCGTTGTGAGATTAAACCCATTCCGCTTTTGTCGCGTCACCTAACCGGTTCACGGCCCCGAACAATGGAGATGCCATTTTGTGAACGGTCGTTCCACTTGTGCGCTTTTGCCTCCTGAGTGGCCTGGCATGACCAACAGTTCCGTGACAAATTGCGTCCTCATCTGAGAGCACGGCATCAAATGGGACGCCCATGCCAGAAAACAGAATTGGCCAGAAGTGATGTCCGGTCTTTTTGGCCACAGGCTCTGGGAACAGCCCCTGCCGAACATAGGCAATCACGAAGACTGAACCCCCCGTCATCAAAAAGCAATTTCTGTCGGACGGAGAATCGTAGCAGTGACACCACGTAGCGTTTTACAATGCCTTAACACGGCCGCCCCGGAATCAGCCTTGTTATTTCGGCCCATTGTCAACTGACTGTCAGAGGTTGGCCACATAGGACCGTTGTCAGAGACTGGTCACGTAAGAGCGTTGTCGGAGACTGGTCATGTAGGAGCGTTGTGAGAGGCTGGTCATGTGGGAGCGTTGTCGGAGACTGGTCATGTAGGAGCGTTGTGAGAGGCTGGTCATGTGGGAGCGTTGTGAGAGGCTGGTCATGTGGGAGCGTTTCATGGGAGGACCACCCGAATGGCGCTGCATATTGTTCATAATGTTGGACACTTCCACTGGAGCTACAGTACGCAACGTGCAAGTCACGATTCTATTGGAAGGACAACGCCAATTGGATGATGCGGCTTATCGTCCGCAATCCTAAAACAGTTGATAGCCATGTGCCATTGCTAGTCAAGGAAGCTGAGATCACGCATGATTTTCGAGTCGAGATACTGCCATCGCAGCTTTAGCCAACCTATGATCGTTTTTGGATGCTGTCTCAGGATAAGCAAATGTAGCATACCTGAACGAATGTAACGTGCTTTAATAGCGTCGATTTGCTGTGAGAACGAAAACCTTGCGGTTTTGAATGCATGCTTCCCTGTCGTCGAGAGGCCAGCAATTTTTAGTAGGAATGGAGGCCAGTAGCCAAACTAAGTGTCCCGTTCTTCCTCAAACCAAACTGAACTTGTTCCAGGTGACCAGGCGTGTAAGGGTGACCGGGAGTTCCCCACACCCGACATTGGCGTGCCGAACGATGTCATTAATCGCTACGTAGACACGCACTACTACGTCGACCTGGAGCTGATGGTAAGCCGGCGCTGACCGATCGGGCGATCTGCGTCTTAACGGAACGAGGGCACCCACCGGTTACCATCTGTCGACAGACGCTTCGGCGCGGTCCACAGACCGCGGCGGCGCACGATTCTCTCACCGATGGCCCAGTCTGTCAGGGGCAGGATGCGCGCTGAGCGCCCATCAGAAGCGCAACAGCGCGCGCGACTCACCGTGGGGAGACGGGGCTGACCGGTCGCGTCGCCGCAGGCCAACAACATGGAAGCGTGCCGGCGCGCCTGCGAGATCGAGAACGAGATCATGTGCCGGTCGTTCCTGTACCGCGGCCCGCCGACCGGCACCACCTACAACTGCCAGCTGTTCCACCTGGACCACGTGACACTGCCGGAGGGCGCGCTGACTTTCCTCTCCAGCGAGCAGCCCCTGCTTGATGTGGGGCGCGAGCCGGGCGTCTATCATGAGAACGTCTGCAAAAGTGAGTGCGCCGTCGCCGGGCGACACGCGCCGCCACAGTGGGAGCGGGTGGGCAAGTCACTGTAGCCAGAGACCACTCACAGGGTTGCCACTGTGGCACATCAGGGCGTCACTGTAGAGTTTAACAGGCTCTGCTCGATCGACGGTCTTGCAGGGGATGTGGCGAATGAAAATTAGCTTCATCCTAGAAGATGGCAGACTAACGGAGCACATAGTAGTACGGGGCTGTCTATAGAAAGCATGCAAACCTTCACTGTGGACCAACATTGATCCAGTACTCGTCCAGTCTACATCACCACACTCGCCCGCAAACGCCACCCATATGCTTAACGGCGCTCCCTTTTCCAGGCTGTGTATGCTCTTGTGTGCTGACTTCTGACTGGACACGTGCGCCCGTGATCACTTACGACCGCTAACTGTCGTCCCGCGTTCTCTAACTCGAGCCGGGACGGGCCGTCCCACCCCTCACCCCCACCCCACCCCTCCGAGCCTGCTCCGGCTGACAGAGCGACTGTCTTGACACTGCTGTGCACACTCACAACATCACCCTGGAGACGTCACTGCTCAGAGACCGCAGCAGGCCGGTACTGGTGCCTTCACTGGCCAGACCGAGGCAATGCATGCGTCTGAGGCCGCAAGCGCGAGTGCTGTCTATCAAGGGTATAGTCTGGCATCCACGATGCTTTTCGTAAGGCCTCTGATCGGTCCGTGTGCAGACGGTTGCGGTATTCCGTTGGAGGACGAAGCATGCTCGATTTTGAATCGCCGTGGCAGGATAACAGTCGTCTCCTCTGTGTTGTCTTTAACGGTAAAGAGGGCTCAGTTGCCTAAATGTCCGACATTGCTCGGCAATAGCTGCTTCTCCTCCAACGGCGCAACTGCCATACACTCACATCACATCGCTCACTGCTTAACTTGATGACGCAACCGTGTCCTTGTCCTGAAAAGCCACCAAGTCCTTCCAGTAATCAGCAAATCGAACTTAAGCATCCCCCCATCTAATTGCTCTTTTCGCGCACCCCAATCATCCAAACATATTGTACATTGCCTGCCTTTTACAAGTGTCCTGTACGCCAACCGGAATGGTGGCATCTATTGGGGAAGAAGCAACCACCTGGCAATGTTTGGCACCACGTGTCAAGTACCCATTATTCGTGCATTAAGAAATAAGTCATCAGTTGTGGTACTTTTTCGCCAAGTGCTGCCCTTATCCCAAGTCCCAATATTGTCATCCTTTTTACCCATGACTGACGACGTTGTTGACTTTTTAGAGCCGACTGACAACATGATATGCCGCCAAGTAGTCACCAAGAACAAACGCTACATCACCCAAATAATGTGCTATGAGAAACCCAAAAGTAGGCAAACAGGAGTGTTTAGCTTCAGGGCAGGTAAATGCCAAGTCATTCGACGTCTGGCCGATTTGCTAACAAATCACTCCCTCCTCATTTTCTTTCTCTTAATCATAACTAACGCATGGACAGACCGGCGCTGTCTGACAAGCTCCTGGACACGGCTGGGTCTTTTCTACATCTGAAAATTAGCCTAGTTGGTAGAGCAACGGCCGTCATGTTGCAACAGTCCCGAGCCTACCGTCCCGGTGCAGTCTGGTCACAAAACAGCGCCCGTAGTCTGACGCGACGACGCTGCCCGACCCGAGGCGCTCGATGATTTGGCCTTTAATGCCAGTGCTGGCCGGCGGAGCAGTCTGATGGCCGCCCTTCGGCTTGTGCCGCTTTTTCCCAAAACGCAAGCCATCTGGCTGCCTCCCCCTGACTACCCTGAAAAGAGGGCTGCCCCCAGCCTGGTGATCATCTGGCGCCTTTCATCGCACGACTGACCCGAGCCGCGACTCGAGACTGTGCCACGTGACCTGGGGCGCACCTGCACGCACCGACGCATGGCTGGCACGTGACACCAAGCACCTTCTCTACACAGAGCCGTCGGGGCCTGCGGTGCTGCCTGGTCCGCCGCCGCCCACCGCCGCTCCCCTCGACGATACCCTAGTGGTCAGGCGGCCCAGTCCCGAACAGCTGGCACCCAGCACGGCAGTGGCCGGCACCCCCGGGCAAGGCGCCGACCCCACAGCCGGGGCTCCCCCACCCGCAGACATATCCGAGGATACCTTTGAACCCTCGCCGGATGGTGTTCCCTCACCAGATGCAATCCCTCCGTCAGATGAAACCCCTTCGTCTGGTGCAAGCCCATCATCGGGTGAATCTCCCTTGCCGGGTACAGTCCCTCCCTCGGATGAAGCTCTCTCGTCTGGTGCGACTCCATCATCGGGTGAATCTCCCTCGCCGGGCTCGATCCCTCCATCGAATGGATCGCCTTCGTCGGGTGCGAGCCCTCCATCGGATGAATCTCCTTCATTGGGTGGGATCCCTCAGTCGGATAAATCTCCCTTATCGGGTACGACCCCACCATCGGGTGAATCTCCTTCGCTGGGCGCGACCCCTCCATCGGATGAAACTCCTTCGTCTGGTGCGCCCCAATCATCGGGTGAATCTCATTTACCAGGTACAGTTCCTCCCTCGGATGAAACCCCTTTTCCTGGTGTGACTCCACCATCAGATGGATCTCCATTGCCGATTGCGATCCCTCCATCGGATGAATCTCCCTCGTCGGTTGCGACCCCATCATCGGGCGAATCTCTTTCGCCGGGTGCGATCCCTCCATCGGGTGAATCACATTCGCCGAGTGCGATCCCTCCATCGGATGAAACTCTTTCGCCTAGTGCAACCCCATCATCGGGTGAATCTCCCTTGCCGGGTGCGATCCCTCCATCAGATGAATCACCTTCGTCGGGTGCGATCCCCCCATCGGATGAAACTCTTTTGCCCGGCGCAACCCCATCATCGGGTGAGTCTCCCTTGCCGGGTGCGATCTCTCCATCAGATGAATCACCTTCGTCGGGTGCAATCCCCCCATCGGATGAAACTCTTTTGCCCGGCGCAACCCCATCATCGGGTGATTCTCCCTTGCCGGGTGCGATCCCTCCATCAGATGAATCACCTTCGTCGGGTGCGATCCCTCCATCGGAAGAATCTCCTTATCCAGTGTTTTTACCCCATCGGATGAATCTCCTTTTTCGGTTGCGACCCCGTCATCGGGCGAATCTCTTTCGCCGGGTGTGATCCCTCCATCGGATGAATCACCTTCGCCGAGTGCGATCCCTCCATCGGATGATAAACTCTTTCGCCCGGCGCAACCCCATCATCGGGTGATTCTCCCTTGCCGGGTGTGATCCCTCCATCGGATGAATCTCCCTCGTCGGTTGCGACCCCATCATCAGGCGAATCTCTTTCGCCGGGTGCGATCCCTCCATCAGATGAATCGCCTTCGTCGGGTGCGATCCCCCCATCGGATGAAACTCTTTTGCCCGGCGCAACCCCATCATCGGGTGAATCTCCCTTGTCGGGTGCGATCTCTCCATCAGATGAATCACCTTCGTCAGGTGCGATCCCCCCATCGGATGAAACTCTTTTGCCCGGCGCAACCCCATCATCGGGTGAATCTCCCTTGCCGGGTGCGATCCCTCCATCGGATGAATCCACCTTCGCCGAGTGCGATCCCTCCATCGGATGAAACTCTTTCACCCGGCGCAACCCCATCATCGGGTGAATCTCCCTTGCCGGGTGCGATCCCTCCATCGGATGAATCTCCCTCGTCGGTTGCGACCCCATCATCAGGCGAATCTCTTTCGCCGGGTGCGATCCCTCCATCAGATGAATCACCTTCGTCGGGTGCGATCCCTCCATCCGATGAGTCTTCTTCGCCCAGTGTGATTCCTCCATCGGATGAATCTCCTTTTTCGGTTGCGACTCCATCATCGGGTGAATCTCCCTCGCCGGATGCGATCCCTCCATCGGATGAATCTCCGTCGTCGGGTGCGACCCCTCCATCGGGAGAATCTCCCTTGCCGAGTACTATCCCTCCATTCGATGAATCACCTTCGTCGGGTGCGATCCCTCCATCCGATGGATCTCCTTCGTCCAGTGTGATACCTCCAAAGGATGGATCTCCTTTTTCGGGTGCGACCCCATCATCGGGTGAATCTCCTCTGCCAGATGCGATCCCTCCATCGGATGAATCGCCTTTGTCGGGTGCGGTACATTCATCGGATGAAACTCATTCTTCTGGAACAGCCCCATCATCGGGTGAATCTCTCTCTCCGGGTACAATATCTCCCTCGGGTGAAACGCTTTCCCCTGGTACGACCCCATCATCGAGTGAATCTCCCTTGCCGGGTGCGGTCCCTCCATCGGATGAACATCCTTCGTCGGGTGCGACCCCATCATCGGGTGAATCTCCCTCGCCAGTTGCGATCCCTCCATCGGGTAAGCCTCCTTCATCGGGTGTGATCCCTTCTTTGCTCGCGATCCTTTCGTCAGGGAAGATCCCTTCTTCGGGCGTTATCCCGTCATCGGGTGCCAGCCCTTCCCCTGGTGCCATTCCTTCCCCGGCTGCCATTCCTTCCCCAGCTGCCATTCCTTCCCCGGCTGCCATTCCTTCCCCAGCTGCCATTCCCTCCTCGGGTGCCATTCACTCGTCGGGTGCCATCCCCTCCTCGGGTGCCAGCCCTTCCTCGGGTGCCGTCCTCTTCTCGGGCACCACTCCCCCAGTGGTGTACCTCCCCCCGTCTCAAGTGCCTCCCACCGGCGAAAGTACTGTAGCAAAGAATCCGCCAGAGGCTGTCGGGCCTGACACCGGCGCAGACCGGCTAGGTAGGCCTCCATGTTAAGGTCTACGTGTCTCGGCAGGGTCGGCGGACGCTGAAGCTACCCTCTTTCGAGGGTGCCCGGTGGCGGCCGCATGGGTGGAGGAAACGGTCGCATGTGAGCCCCGCGGAACCCCCGCCCACGTCTCCCTCTCGACCAATCACCCGCCGGCGTCTGTCCCCGAGCCGTCCGCTGCAGACCGCGGACGAGTAGTCAGCCGGTGGCCAGCACATGGCACTGCTGCGGCTCGGGCCGGCTCCACGCCGTCAGGGCCGACAGACCCGCTGACTGGTCATGCGCGAGGCGTGGGAGGGTGGCGCCGGGTTGCCCCAGCTCGCGCGGCTGTGACTGACGCTTGGCTGACACGCCGCGCGCCGCCTGAGTGGACTGACGGCCGGTGACTGACACCTTATGTAACACGACGGGATCGTGTCAGGAGGTGTTCGAAAGCTTCGGCTACTAATTTCGTTGTCACGTTAATGCTTTTGAACATTGCTGTTTTTCCAGATAAGTGTTGGTGATTGTAAAAGCTATGCGCTGATGGAGTACGTGTTTTCCTGTGACAAGCTTATACATCTCAGTGGAGGCCACGGAATCATGATTTACGTTGTAATCTACATGTGTTGTTTTTCAAACAAACAAATATGATGAGCCTACGCCAAAGTTGCCTTACTGTACTGCGGCTCTTGGTTACAACACCGAACACTACGGCGTTACCAAATGTTACGTAAATCCGCGCCAGCCGAGCCCTGGTGGTACTGTGGTATGATAGTTATACTTAGTCGCTGACCGTGCTGCGTGCCACGTACCAGGATCGCTGGACGGCGGCGCCCCACCGGCCGGCGGACCTGAGCCGGGAGCCGGCGAGCCCGGCCCCTCTGGCGTCGGCCCGACCTCGGCCGGAGACGCAGGTGAGTCTCTGGCCCTGACTCCGGGACAGCGACGCCGCCGGTAGCCGCTGGCTCAGCACATCTCTTGCGTCAGCGCCCCAGGAACCCTGTGCTCGTGGCATGCAGATGGTATAAAAATATGCACCCATAGTAGGTGACATACACCTTAGTTTGCTATTGGGTTTTAAAGCCGCCTGCGGTATGGTGTGAGCACTGGCAAAATACAGATGGTTTGGTCCGAGAGACGCAGCACGTTGTACATTTTAGTCATGTCTGCTTCTCCACACGGACATCATTCAGTGTATCGCAACTGTGGCAACGGCCACAGCACAGCACCGAATAGTAACCGATCTACCGTTTACTCAAGATTACCAGGTCTCACTGTAATCCTCTGGTGTTGACAGCTGGTGCGCACAGCCAAGCTTCTCACAGCTTGGGAAGGATTTTCACGTCAGCGTTTCTGCACATCGTTTCAGCTGGTGGAGAAAGCGACGGAGGGGGAACACAGGTGGTGACGATCCCCGACCTACCGACCGGTGGCAGCGGGGGCGCACCGGGCACACCGGGCGCAGGTGGCGCTGGTGACGGCTCGCCAGGTGGCTCTAGTGGCGGCAGTCCAGATGGCGGCAGCGGCGCTACTCCGGGTGCTGTCGACAACGGTACCCCGGGCAGTGCCAGCGGTGGTGGCGACTCCACCGGCGGCAACGGAATCGACCAGTCTGCTGGCGAGGGCAACGACGTCAACTGCGACTCGACCGGCACCTGTTACGATGGTAGGTCACGCCCGTCCGGATAGCATGCGCTGGGGGACGCGTTTTTTAAAATGGTAAAATCCTGTTCGACTGCGTTTGAGTGGAACCGACTCTAGAACACAAACACGCAGTATCGCATCGTACGCCTTGCCCACGCGTATGAAATAACCGAGCTGTAACAGGAGCGCGCACACACGTGCCAGCCCTGACCGGCTGACCCTCGTTTCCAGTGTCGGTGCAGTGCAAGGACACACGCATCGTGGTGTTGGTGGGCACCAACCGACCCTTCAACGGTCGTATCTACGCACTGGGCCGCTCGGAGACGTGCAACGTGGCCGTGGTGAACTCGGATAAGTTCCGACTGGACCTGAGCCTTTCCGGCCAGGACTGCAACACCCAGTCCATGGTGAGTGCATGCCTCGAGCGTGATCACGTCCTCTGCCGGATCACGGGCCGCGAGACGAGCATGAGTGTCGGAACCGTAGCGCGAAGTCGATCGTGAGAACCCGTACACGGCGTGTTGAAAGTGACGCGGCGAAAGCTGACTGTGGCTACCGAGAGGCGAACTGGACCCACTGTCTGGCAGTAAACAAAAGCGATCCGCTGTCTGTGGGGCTTGTGCCCTGCGATCCATCGCGCTGATCATCCGACTCTAGGGACAGCGTCCGCCGACCGTGGCTGAGCTGTGACCGTGACGTTTCCCCCGTGCCACGCGCAGGGCACCGTGTACTCCAACACCGTGGTGGTCCAGCACCACTCGGTGGTCATGACCAAGACGGACAAGATCTACAAGGTGCGCTGTACGTACGACATGTCCTCCAGAAACATCACCTTCGGCATGATGCCCATCAGGTGAGGAGGCGGGAGGGCCGCCACACTGCCGCAGTCGCTTGGCGTTCGCTTGGGTTCAGTCTGCCGTAACCAGCTGATCCAGCGTTGGTGTCGACAGCACTCGACTTCGTTTCTCCATAGCGCGCCCAGGCTCGTCGTGACGATGGCCCGTCTCAGTGTGGACCAGAGTAATAAGCCGCGGTGCAGTCAGCTGGCCATCTCACTGATGATATTTGGGTTAGGGGGAGGGTAGCGGAAGGGGTGTCAAGGCATCGGCTGCACTGGTCACTATTCGATACCGAGCGAGGAAGCTTAAGTCTCGCTGGGCTTAACCCGCGTGCGACCCTCCTCCTTGAAGCGGCTCGGCATGGACACGGATAGCGACAGGCTGAGACGAAACCTGCACATATCGCTCAGGCGAAGTGTCTAACCAGGGTCGATGTAGCGTGTTGCTCATGTTATGATGTTTAACAAGCGCACTGACAACTAGAGCAGCGCACCAAGTGACTGATCTGAAGGGCGTAGTCTAGACGCTATGGCGCGTGGGAGCTTAGCGCAGTTAGTCACGCGATTCTGACCCTTCCAGTCAAGCGGCGCAAGACCCCAACTCAGAGTTCTATGACCCTAACTTTGAGGCAGGCCCGATGGGACAGCTGTTGATACGGTAAGGCGCTCGCCTCACCCCGCCTGTCGAGCTCCCCACCCGGCTCACACGCACGGCGCTGGCTGGTGGAGAGAGGGGGACAGCAGCACGCGGGCTCGGGGGCGACGAGAGCACCCCTCCCGCCCACTAACGTTAACAGCCCCGGTGGCCGGCGGCCGGTGCGGCCTCTGCGGCGGCGGGTACTCCGAGCGCGTCGACTCGCAGCCGTGCGCCAGTCGAGTCGGCGCCGGGTCCGAGACTTGTTGGCTGTCTGGCGTCTCGCAGCCGTGCGCCAGTCGAGTCGGCGCCGGGTCCGAGACTTGTCGGCTGTCTGGCGTCTCGCAGCCGTGCGCCAGTCGAGTCGGCGCCGGGTCCGAGACTTGTCGGCTGTCTGGCGTCTCGCAGCCGTGCGCCAGTCGAGTCGGCGCCGGGTCCGAGACTTGTCGGCTGTCTGGCGTCTCGCAGCCGTGCGCCAGTCGAGTCGGCGCCGGGTCCGAGACTTGTCGGCTGTCTGGCGTCTCGCAGCCGTGCGCCAGTCGAGTCGGCGCCGGGTCCGAGACTTGTCGGCTGTCTGGCGTCTCGCAGCCGTGCGCCAGTCGAGTCGGCGCCGGGTCCGAGACTTGTCGGCTGTCTGGCGTCTCGCAGCCGTGCGCCAGTCGAGTCGGCGCCGGGCCCGAGACCTGTCGGCTGTCTGGCGCGCGGTCCGTGCGGTCGCAGAGAATGAGCTCCGAAGGGCCGGCCGTGTGCCGGGTTGAGCACACAGGGCCTCGGGATGGAACCGGGGCTGCGGTGCCTGTGTGTCCTTCCTCGTGTTTGCCTGCGGGTGTGCGCTACATGTTGCAAGTCCAACTAACTCATGATGGTATGCAACTGCTAAAGTGCACTAATACGCCCGCCATGTGTTAGCCTGAACGTGGAAGGCAACAGGGAACTACGGTGACCAGGAAATGTTATGTTTAAGGGACGTAACCAACTTATCTTATTACTACGCTTTGTAAGCATGCTAAATATGAGGCATGCCATCATATGAAAAAGATACATGTTGTCTTCTGTCCACGCAAATGTATTGTTATATGTGTCACATGTCACAAATCAGTTTTGTGAAGCCCTGCTTCCGTCCGCTTTACTGCCTCCCTTGCGTCATGTACAGCGAAACACGGCAAAATCATTGCTAATGGCTACCACCCGGCTATTGTCATACTGGCGCACGAAACAGCCCTGTTTTCAAAGCCTGTGCAGCTTATCCAGGTACGAGATCGAAACGTATGTAGTAAAGCGTATTGTATTCAGCATTGTGAAAATATGAGGATGTTTGCCAAACACATAAATGGTGTTTTCCACACACAGCCCACAAGACCGAGTATGTCGAGCTAACCACATTTTGTTTTCCATGCCACGTGCTGCCATGACATTCGGCTCTTCATCTGCGAGCTCTTCCTATGCGAAAACATCTCTGATGGACATCAGCGAGCATGAGCACGTCTACTTCCTACGACGAGGACTGGTCTCTGCCGCAGGGATCCCGACATGATTTCCATCACCTCTGCCCCGGCTGCGCCGCCACCTAAGATCTCCATCTTGGACTCGTCCGGACGGGAGGTGGAGACCGTCCGCATCGGAGACAAGCTCACATTCCGCATCGAGATCCCCCCCAGCAGTGAGTGCATCGGCCCGTCACGTGGTGGCGAATGCAGAAACGGACCCGGCAGAAGTCCCCAGTCAGCAGCCTGCCCATGACCCCAAATTGGCACATTCACAAGGTGGAAGAACGCTACTTTGCACCACGACGTAACTACAAGCGCCGCCCGTGTGAAGTGTCCATCTGCAAACGCTATGCCGCCTGCTTTAAGTAAGTCGGCAGTGGGGTCCTGTCCGGCGACTGCGGGTGGCCCATCATGTTTTTACAGGTGGGGTTCATGAGTACCGCATGGGGTCATCAGTGCGGGTGTATCGCTAACGTGCCCTACCTGATCGTTTTTCAGCCCCCGTACGGCATCTTCGCTCGCAACTGTGTGGCCATGGCCAAGGACGCGAAGAGCACCTTCCAGATCATCGACGATCAGGGGTACGTTTTGTATCGCCAGACAAGGCTTTTCTTCTTGGAAAAATAATTCAAAGGAATCACAATTTGTATATGAGCTAACTTCGCTACATTATAAAATGACCTAATATCAATATCCGTGCTTCAAAACCAATAGGCGAGTATCGCTGCTATTCCTCCATTGGCTCCTGGCCCCCTCTGAAAGGCCATGAGTTTCACTACACTCTGCCCTCGACATGTCGCGCTACTCTTCGGCAGGTGCCCGATCGACCCCAACATCTTCCCGCGCTTCACGTCCAACATCAACTCCCTCGAGTCCACCTACGAGGCCTTCCGCTTCACCGAGTCGTACGGTGTCATCTTCCAGTGCAACGTCAAGTACTGTCTGGGCCAGTGTCAGCCGGTGAGTCGGTCGGGGAATCATACTGCCCGCACCACGCGATCTCGAACGCAGGTTTTCGCTTTCAATCATAAATGTAACTTATAAGGGGTGCACCTGGATTTTCCTTGCGCCCAGTTGTGGTATATTCGCCGGTTGCTCGCATTAATATACAGGTATTCAATTCTTTGTGTGCCTCCGTATGCGAAAGTAAGGTACACATATTCAGTTTTCGCGCATCTCCATATACAAACACAATCATGCGTTGTCTGCCAACTGTTCACGTCTTACTTGTGTCTATATCTTTACTTGTGTCCACATAAAAACTTGTGTCCATATCCCAAAGCCGCCAACCAAAAGGCGCATTCGCTGTTTTCACAGGCCCAGTGCTCGCACAACGGCAAGCAGTTCGAGTCCTGGGGCCGCAAGAAGCGTGCGCTTACCCCGACCATGCTGGTGGAGGACCCGCGCGATCCCGAGTCGATGACTCTGAGTCAGGAGATCCTGGTGCTGGACTTCGGCGACGAGCCGGACGCGCGGCCGCAGCAGCAGCAGCGCAGCAGCCTGCCCGAGGTGGAGGTACCGCCATACGTCACCCACCAGACGGCGTTCGACAGTGCCGGCTCCGGTGAGTCACGGGCGGACGGCGGGTCACTGGCGGACGGTGGGTCACTGGCGGGCGGCGGGTCACTGGCGGACGGCGGGTGACTGGCAGGCGGCGGGTCACTGGCGGACGGTGGGTCACTGGTAGACGGCGGGGTCACGAGCGGACGGTGGGTCGCTGGCGGACGGCGGGGGTCAAGGGGAGAAGTTTTACTTGACCTGATGCCCAAATTTGTGCCGAAATAAGCATCAGCACAATGCCAGTCAGATCCCTTGCTGTCGTTCGTTCTATCCTGCCGGAAGATCATCTTGGGGACACGTGGTACTAGCACTCGGTCGGACCGCCATTCTCAGCGCTGGTCATCGGACCGCTCATAACACACCGTTCATTCCGCCGCCGTGTGAAGGGGCTCTCTAGATCGCTACTGCCCTACTTACTCCCCCCCCCCCGCCCCAAGCAAAATGTCAGTGGTGCTTGGCTGATGACATTCCCTCTCGTAGATCACTTCGGTTTTGAGAACGACAGCGTGGAAGTCCTGGAGAAGTGCCCCACCAAGACGTCAGTCCTGGCGCTCTCCGTCACCTGCGCCCTGCTGGTCCTCATCTACGTGTGCAGCATGTTCTACCTCTTCATGAAGCGGTGGATGACGCGCAACAACAAAGTACTGTAGCCGGACCGGCCAGCCTGGCCGCCCATGACGGGGGCGGATCCCTGCGAAACCGGAGAGGTCGGCACTGAAACCAGGGCGCTCCGCACATCAGTGGCATTACAACGTGGGATCTCGGCGCAGCGAGAGGCGAATGGGCATCCCAGGACGAGCAGTGATTGGTGCAAGCTACTGTTAATGCCCTCGGCGCGCCGTGTGCGCTGAGGTTCGCGCTCCGAGGTCGCTCGATTCGTCGCCTTGACAGTACCTTGCATCCGACAGTTGTTACAGTTACAGTCATCTGACAGTTGTTACGTTTCTTTCTCACCGAGTCCGGTTCTTCTAGCGAGGCCTTGCAGTTGGCTGCTGGCTTCAGTTCCGGGACCCGGACGCACTTCCATTGAGCTAGGCGATATTTATTGAGGGCATATGCAAGGCATTTGTGAGACACTGTTGTCCGTGTGTGATGTTCTTGTTGATGGTATGCGTGAGCGACATGACATGACTAAGAACTTAGTTATCATTTTGGCCTTTTGTGATGTCCTTTATTCAGTGTGCACGGAGGTGAGCTTAAGTGTGGACACGGCCATACTCTATTGAACATGAGCAGCGGGATAGCAAGGAAAAGATTGATATTTGACGTCATTCTGAGACATGAAATGCCCAGGTTAAGTGGTGAGGTCGTGAATTACATTCACCACGACGTTTAATGCAATGTAATGCATAACTGACCCGACCAAGGCGCTGTTATTGTATTGATTCTTGCAGTTGAGCAGATTTGATGTAAGGATATCACGAAACATGGCCAATAAATACTATTTACAATACTTTGTTATTGTTAACACCAATGCTGGTCTGCAGCCAACCGGCTAGCTGTTAAGCTACCGACCAGCCGGGTGGTCGCAAGGAGCGGCTCACCGACAGCTGGAAGAGGAGGAGGGGATGCTTGAAATGCACGCCCGAAGATTCGAGCTGTGGATTTGGGACACACAAATTAAATCCATCAAGTTTTGGGCTGGGACCACGGGTCATACTTTCACCTACCTGAGTACATAAGCTTGTTTCTTTTTAAATCACACGTGAATGCTTTACAGACATCTGACACTTTGCCTTATGGCTCTAGCCTCTTAATGATTTATTCGTGGATTCTAACGCACACTCACGAGACTTGAAACCATCAAACAGTCTCACGGACTTTGCAACCAGTGGCCGATTGCACAAAAACTCACGCGATGAAGTTTTCACTTCAAAATATTTACACATCATGTCAATTTACTGGCGTTGTAGTGATTCGGGCGATAAACTATTATTAGTAATGCTCACCAAAAGACGGGAATTATTTACCGACACACATGTGAATGCGGAAAGGTCTTTGTGAGGGGAACATGTAAAAGCCTAAAATCCAGAAGGGGCGAGCACTGTAGAGCGATAAGAGAGGTGAATATAAGCCATTCAGGCTCATCAAAACACATCCCGGACGCAGCACATTGCATCAAATGTGAGGATAAAAAATTTAATTATGACACAAACTGGAGAAAAAGAAAGATTAAAAATAGCATTTTCATCACTAGAACGCGCAGCGACAAGCTTCTGACTGCAACACCTGGGGCACCTACGACGAGTGAGCATCAAAATTTGAAATATAGGGGCTGAAAAGAGTAGTCGGCTTGGGTAATATGTAATACGGGGTGCGATAGCGGGCTTCGGGTCAGTAAATTTGCATATATTTGCATGATTTTGCTCTAAGTATTGCTATATGTCGCATGTGTCGTATGCGTGGTGTCGATTAGTTATCATGTGACATAGCAGCATTCACAAAAAGTGCTTTACAGTCGTGCAAAGTTGTGAGTCCATTACATGTGTTCTATTTCAACGTTTTGCATTATTTATCTGCGGCTAAAATGAAAAACAGTAATTCTACTTTGGTCATCTAAAGAGTCTAGGTATGTTGATTGCATATTTCTTTTATTTTTTAGGTCGTGCCAGAATCTATTTTCGAGAATATCAATGTCTGACCAAGGCTGAAGAAGGAGTGCAAATTATCCTGAAAGCTCCCGTTATATACATAAGCAAGCCGTTTGGAATATTATCCTTTCAAATTTACGATGTTCCAGCTCAATACTATTTTCCAACGTACACACACATACCGGGATGTTACTGGTATGGGCCACTCCTAGCACAAAATATCTGTGCCTCCTGTGGACCGGCCAACAAGCACAATCATCAACGAAAATTACTCAGCTCGAACCCCCGTAGATTTTTATCGCATTTTGGTATCCTCTACAGCCGTGACGCACTTCTCATACTTAGCGCCAACGACACGTGAACTATTTTCAGGTTTTGCTCACGCACTCCGACTCAGATTTACTTCGTCGTCGTAAAACCTTTGAGTAAATCCGCCGCGGTGTATGCAACATGTTTTACCTGTGGTGCAAGCCGGCGAATAAGACTTCTGCTAAAATTCGTAAATTCACAACAGAACTCGCGTGAGTTTTGATATGCAGTCTGCCTCAGCATGTATCGGCTGTTTCGGACAATCATTATGTTGACCGTCAATGAATGATCCCAGTCGTAAGTAACGTCAGATTCTAGAAACCGTGTTTAAACAAGGCCGAGGCGTAATAGATACACAGTCCTGTGAAGTAAATGAGCCGCTGTCTGTTACAGTCTAGAAAGGCTTCGATAAAATCCCCAAGATCTGGCAGAAATTCTAGGAAATTCAACACAAATTTTGAGAATGAGCCTCGTTCTTGAAATTTTAAGATAAAACTCGATTAATTTGTTTTTGAGAGTGAGCAAAGATCGTGCGATGCAAAGTATACAGACATGTTTTTCTTTTCATTATAATCGGCATTCACCTAGTATGTTCACATATTTTACGATACAGGTGAATCTCATTAAACTTAAAACTGTCATGGAATTGATTGAGTGGCTTGTGGAGTAATAGGGAATGCTGAATGCTGAAGATGCATCTCCTGCCTTCGCATTTGGATATGTTATAGAAGAACGATTACAATAGCCGTATTCAACAATTCAGAGAATTTCCAGAAAATCAGAACTCTCCAAGACGGGCAGGGGTACATGATGACAAAGGTACCAGAACCAGTCATGTTGGCTGTGAGGCGGCCGAGGGCCTCCGCCGACGACCATCAACTATTCCGACTTTGATATATGCACATACATATATAGATATAGATATAGATATAGATATAGATAGATAGATAGATAGATAGATAGATAGATAGATAGATAGATAGATAGATAGATAGATAGATAGATAGATAGATAGATATAGATAGATAGATAGATAGATAGATAGATATAGATATAGATAGATATATATATATATATATATATATATATATATATATATATATATATATATATATATATATATATGTGTGTGTGTGTGTGTGTGTGTGTGTGTGTGTGTGTGTGTGTGTGTGTGTGTGTGTGTGTGTGTGTGGTGTGTGTGTGTGTGTGTGTGTGTGTGTGTGCGTGTGTGTGTGTGTGTGCGTGTGTGTTTGTGTGCTCATGCTTTACGGTCCCTCACCTCTCAGTTGTTTTCAGTTACTCACGTAGTTTTCGCGCTCCAGGCAAGCGAGCCAGCAGCCTGCGCAGTGCCTGCAATTAAGGAGGACGTTTTCATTAGTGTGAGAGCAGATCCGGGGGGTTATATTGCACCGCACATTATCAAGTTTACGAATATAGCCCAGTCAAACTCAAATGTTTTCTGTTCCTGAGTCGGCTATAGTTGCAAACATCGCTCAGAGCAGAAAACCGCTAAGATTTTGCGTCCATAGACTGTGTTCAGCCAAAGCGATTGTGAACTGGCCAATGGACCGTGCGGTATCTGTGAGCTAGCATTGCGTTCCATAGCGCACTCCGGCTGTTGTTTGATGTGGTGCCTGGAGTTTGAGCGGAGCCGGCCAGTTATCGAGTGTTCTAGCCCGTCGCTACGTGATGCCTCATCTAGATGGGAGCTATGCTAGTGAGTAGCTGACAGCATTGTGGGCAATGTGAAAGATGTGGTCCAAAAGAAAACTTGACCACACTTTTTCACTTATCATTGTCCGAAAAGCTTTTTAACACCGTTGATTTATCAACCATACTGTTCTACTTCACAGCTTATATATATACATATATATGTTGCTTGCTGCTGCTATGCTGCTATACTGCTGATTATTGTATATCATCCTGATTATGACGATCATGGCGGTTAATAAGCATGATAAGACGCCTAAAAAAATGATTATTCTTTACGTAGCACGAGAACGATGAATCTCACTCTCAGTGAGCAACAGACTCGATCCAATGTCTTTGAGCGAGGATTAAAATATAGGCAGCATTGTTCGTCAGCCGGCAGTCATGCTGCTAGGCACTGGCTATTCGGAGCGTTCTGTTGAAAACGAGCTGCACTTACCTAAGTGACGGTATCTTATAGATATATTCCTGTTCAAGTCATAACGCCTTGCATTCGAGATAGCCTTGTAGTCTTGTCTTGTATTCCTTGTGTTTAGGTCATACCGTCTTCGTTTCGAGAGAATCTTTAAGGCTTATCTTGTATTCTTTCTATTTAGGTCATAGCGCCTTGCATTCGAAACATGCTTTTGGAGAGATGGCACTGCCATCTTTCCGCCAATGATCAACGATTGACCACTTTTCGGTCGGTTGCTGGTGCACCTAAGGGTCAGACTGTTTTGGGGACTGTTAACGAAATGCAGCTGCTACATTCACCGACACTGTGGGGCTCATTAGTCACATTTGCATCTGGTCTGGCTGCTCAACTCCGAGATTCAAAAACGCCTCAAAACGAACAGATCCATGGTTCGCCTGCGCTAGCACGTGATAACATGCGCATGTCGAGCCATACACTTGCCAGCACAGTTGTCCGTTGTCCCCTCTGCTGGCGTTAGCTTATCTGCTTACCTTGTAGCCGAGATCTAGGCCTGCTTCCAACCTGTGCTTTTCAGCTTTTCGCAACTTGAAAACTTTGCGTTCCTCGTTGACGTTAAGGAGAAACTAAATTTTGGTGATAATGTGTCGTCATAGGCACGCGGCGTTTGCTTAAACACTGCATCCAGATACCTTGAAAACATTTTATCATAAACTCAAATTTTTGTTGTTGCAAGGTCTGCGGCGATGGAATCCACGCGATGGTTGCAGAGGTATAACGCTAAAAGTGTGACTTTCCTGACCGAACCGGGCTGGACTGGATCGCTGCAGCGTAAAATTTCCTGCTAATTAGCGTTCAGAGACTCTCCGGACTCTCTCAGCTCGCAGCCTCCATACTAATCACATATGTACGCATCTTCCAGCTTCACGATGATAATATTTTTCAGGGAGGTGTCAGTGTAGCCAAGGCATGCACTAGAAGATATAAATAAACGCCAATTTATATATATCTTGCCGCAAACAATGTCAAGCGGCCATCACAGATATCAATGCAGCGGAATTTATCTGAAATCCTCCCGTCACCTGTCAAAAAAGGCAATCTATTCCATCATCGGTTGATCAATGCAGATATACATCACGAATTCATGAGTCGTTTCTTCATCGCTGCCATTCATGCTTTCCCGTGATGTAGCAAAACGTTTTCACTTATCACGATTGAGCGAGGTGATTCTTAGCCCTCATCGAACAATGGGATCGGTGACAATATGGCTATTGTACGGGTTATCTTCCACGCTCTGCATGACAGGTACGTAATCTCGGCATTATTTGAATTTTGGATGACGGGTGCCCTTTAAGTGACAATTCTGAGCAGCCCTGATTGATGTGTCGACAGAACGGTTACAAAAACTGTACACTCCATTAACGTTCGGCGAATAAGTTACTTTCTACAGGCCTGCAAACACGAGTGAGTGATTTGAAATCATCCATGACGATGCCGACTTACATTGACCACTACCAATGCGTAGCATACCACGTTCATTAAAGGAATCGGTTAGCATTACCATTCATATTTGAAGACTCAGTCCAGGGCTTTTTGATTGGATGGAGTTCTGGTATCAACACCCTCGCTTAACAGGGTTTGTTGCGGAGCCTTGACCTCATCTGATCCGATCGTGAAATTCCGGGCCAACGGCAGAATTTTGGGCAAAAGCTTGAAGCGCCGATTTTTTTTCGGCACTATTCGTACTGCCCCTACAATCACCTGACCTTAAGTAAAGCTGCTGCCAGGGCCGTAGCACATTCTAATCAGGGGCCAATAGTCAGGGCATTAGGTGACCCCAACATACCCATCACAGATAAGTTAATCAAAAGGCAAACGTTCTAACCGAGCCTGAGCTATCAGAACAGATGAATGGCTGTTGAAACCAGGGCAGCAATGCTGCTTGGACTAATATAGTGAAATTCTAGGCCAACATAACGCATTTGATTAATTCATCAAGCAGGTACCTCTGCTTAATTTCTTTTCTGCTAAACAGACTACGAATTTGTGGCGGTTTTCATCGTTACATCGAGCCAGTGGAGGCACGATTATGCATACGGTCGGAGAACCGCAGATTTGATTCGAGTAAACACATGTTGAACGTTGAGTCACGCTTAGCGTTCTGAATATGTTGAGACAGCTATGGAAAATTTATTTGAGCAGAATGCAATCATGCTTCCTTATAATCAGAAGTCTGACATTTTGAGTTGGATGCATGTGCAAAATGCAGTTGACAAGCATACACATATCAGTCCTCTAGGTGGTGGTTTTTATAGTATTATGCTACTGAGGATGTTTCAGTTGCGCTGGATTATGTCCCGGATTTGTGCAAAAGTTACTCACAACGATATTTGACATCCGTGAAATCTGTGCAGATACGCGCTTAATCAGCTTTGTTCAATTTCAATTATAAGCGTAGAGGTGAAACGTCACTTTTCTCATTGGTTGTGCATCACGTGGTTTTGTATTGACTGTCGCTGCTTGACATGCGATGCACCTAGAGTCCACTTCTCAGTACATATTTCCCGCCCAAAACATAGCATTCTGATGAATCCGCTTCTCGCTCCAGGCCACTCGCTGAAGTGTGCTTCATGCAAGCCTGATCACGATCCGGAGATAGCCGAGACCAATAAGCTGCTAGTGGATGGCAAGTACAGCATCGTAGAGTCGGAGGGCAAGATGTTTAAGCAAAACTATTCCACTTGGCCGCTCTGCCAAGAGGTGAACGACAAAACGGACTATGGAGCAATCACGCTGGAATGCCCCACAGATGGTGATTGGGTATGCGGCTTCGCTTGGGGTGAGGAACGGCTGAACGAACCGAGCTGCGCTCATGGTCAGGAACGACCATGCGCGTTTTCATAACGTATGGCAGTGATCACCTGATGTTGCACTTCCACGCCAAATCCTGGCTCATTAAAGATCAACCACTCTCAGAATAAGAACACAATGCTAAAACAGAAGCTTCTCTTGCTTTTATCAACTATTATCGCCGCTGCACGCGGGATGATTCACGGCGGATGTTAGATAGTTCATAAGTCGCGCACTCCTACGAGATTTCAGGACGAATCCTGGCTGTCATGCCAGCCGCGCGAGCACCCTTGCTGGCTATGTGCCCGCCTTGGACCTTTTAGAGGGAGCCTCGCCGCTCAGAAGCCTTGGCACTTGTTAGGCACCGTGCCTGTAACGGGACCCCTTGTGCCGCGGAGCTCTCTAGGCCCGTTATTAGCCTATAACGACGGGCGCTCTTCACCAGCTCGTCCCGGCTAGTCTAGCTGCTGTCACATTGTTCAAGGGATGCCCGTAGGGCACAATGACTTGGGAAAACGAAAGTTGTAGTGGAGAACGAACCAGAAAATATCTAGTGGCTTCAGTAGTTATGGTGATACTGTCAAAACGAGCCGCAAGAATATCATACGTCACACCATTTCTACATTGTGCAACATATCTGTGTACGCTGGCCGCTTTCCGTGTCACATGTCTCTGTGCCTGTCCCCGTGCATGTGACGTGGGCGCCGTGTACACTCACGCCGCTCTGTGGCCTGGCAGCGGCCGCGGAGCAGTACGCCACCAGGGGGTGCGTCCTGAGACAGGAAGGCTTCAACATGGACAAGTGCGTGCGGAAGAATGTGCTAGACGATATGGGGCAGGTAGAGTGCTCCTTCTTGCTTCATTACTGCGAGAAGGACCTATGCAATAAGCAGTCCAAGAAGCAGCTACGCCTGTGCGCCGGGAAGGGCCGAGCGGAAACTATCGTAGCGACGCCTTCACTAATTTTGTTGGAATTCGCGCTCGTCGTTGCTGGATGGCTATTCTAAGCATCCTTCAGGCGTTAAAAGCCAATTCAAGACACGCATGAAGCAATATGTTGGAATCAGCCGTGGTGCCTGCCAGCCGGCTTGTGGTGTTGGTGCGTCGAGGAAAGTGTGTATGCGAACGTTTGCCAACATTGTACCGCTCACCACGGTGCACTTAAGAGCTACAATACGCCACAGGACAGCGCTGGCGGCCGTGGGCAGAGACCAAACACGGCAGCAAACCAAGCGGCGCCCGCCAGCCAGCTTCGAGAAGGTGCCCGGGCCAGACAGGCAATGCTTTGGAACACCGTGCATGATGTTGACGGAAGGTACAGGACTATATACCTTCTGTTCATGTTTTGTTTAGCGTTACAGCTAGCGATCTAGCGTTAAAGATCTGATGATCTAGTGGTCTAGCGTTAGCGATCTTGTTCGCACGTCGCATGTTTGAGTTTCAGCACCAAACAGCTGAGCCTGGACGAGATTTGTCGCGCGTGAAATGCGCCCCCTCGCCACCGTCCCGTACCAAGCGTTTCCATTGGGCCCGGTTTCATCTTGCCGCGCAAATGCAACGGATATGTATTTCAGCATTCAGCTAAGCTAAACGCGACCTACAAACATATGCTGATGATGAAGACAAAGTAGGCTTACGAAAGACGGCTCGCCAATATGTCGAGCCTTTGGATCCACACATCCAGCATCTGGTACCAGTAGGTCGTTATAATCCTAGCCCTGTGCATATGCGTATGATGCAAACATCTTCGCATCGTAGCCGGCAAGCCATTCAAATCGTGGGCACTGGACAGGTGTAAGTGTCTCTGGTGTCTAAAGATATCTCCTAAATCCATCCACACATCGTAACGCAATTTCGGGTAATTAAGTGTTAAGCTCCTGTGCCCGGCGATAAAAGCTCAAGGTTATACGCCTCAACACGCTGCCGCCTCATCTCGCTTGTTTGTATTTTTGTCTAGGAACAAAATTACACACCGTCCGGGAAAATATGCTCTGGCAACGTCTCATGTAAATGTAGTTCGCCATTTGATACAAAACATGACACTTGAGTGATGCTATTCGATATGATGCGTAGCTCAGTTCAGTTTACCTAAACAGATACAGGCAGGGACACGGAACAAACGCAGTGCCCTGGCACAGCGAATAATCTAAAGCAACAGGATACCCGGCTGCCGCACTAGGGTTGCGGATCGTCACTTGCCCTCCTAACGCAGCATTAAAGATATTCACGTACTACGCAGTGCCCAACAGGCCAGGCTTTACCCGGCTACCAGACCGTACTGTTTGGCACCTATGAGGATAAAAAATACTCCGCATCCTCCCTTCCACGAAGCCCTGGAAGGTTGATCGGTGCTCTTAAGCTCGTATTGATCATCACATATACGGTAGCCCTGCCATTAATGGAACTTCTGAGTGTGGTAATACGGCACAGCCTGGGATTGCAAGCAAAATTCAGCAACGCCACGAAGCACGCACGTTGCCATACCCTGCATTTGATAACGTTTTGCACCCTGGGACACATTCCCCAGTAAGCCCGCACCGGTGCCTTTTGCACTCAGTGCTGCCCTCTCCACCCCCGCGCCCATTCTACAGGCTCCACTCTTCATTCCGCTCATTGCACATTCCCTCCTTCCCGTGGTCGCCGGCGGCGGAGTGTCGGCCTCGCGGGGCGTCCGGACCTGCCGGCGCCGGCTCGGCGGTCGCTGCCGTGAGCGGCGACGCCTCGGACGGCGCGGCGGCCGACGTGCGGCGCGGCCGGACCACGTCGGCGATGCACTCCGGCAGGGGCCGGTCGGCAGTCTCCGGCAGCAGCAGGATGGTCAGGCCGGCCACCATCGCCGCCAGTCCGAACACCACCACCGGGAAGGCCGGGTGCACCTCGTCACGCTGTAATAGCCGCCCACCTCGCATCAGACACTCACCTCAAGTTTATCTCCAGTACACAGGCAGCGCACGGTGCTGGCAAACGAGCTCCGTTCCGGGGTATACCCACCTTTCCTGGCAGTCAAACGACAACTTTATGTACGTGTCAGCCATTACGAGCAGGGGCTTGTTCGCTCTTATGCATAATTACCGACGGGAGTTCGAAGAGCCAAGTTGTCACATTCAGCGTTGTCATAAAGTTATGATATTAACGTCAGCGAGAAACAACCGGCTCTGCAGCACGCTCACCAACAGTAGGAGGAGAGGGGCGAGGATACCACCGAAGCGGGCGGCGAAGGAGCAGCTGGCCAGCCCGGTGTTGCGCACGGCCGTGGGGAACAGCTCGGCGGAGTAGATGTAGATGGAGCCGAACGAGGCCGTGATGCAGAACCGGCTGATCATGGCCAGAGAGACTATCGGCCAGTCGTACTGATATGCACCTGCCGCACCGTCAGCCGTTCAAAAGCAGAGCCGTCGCACGCGACACACCGATCCGTCATCCACGACGCCCACAGACGTCACACAAGACGAAGATATCTGACGCGACGCACACAGACGTAGATGCGTCGCTTGCACCACAGACAGTCGTCGCATGTACCGAGCAGAGTTGAATGCAAGCGGAAACGTTTGGGAGAGATTCCTGAAGCAAAACACTGACTTTAAGTCGGAAAGCTAAGGCCACACTTTGATACAGAATGCTTACCGTTGTTCTCCAATAAGTGCGCAACTGATTGTAACTGGCTGTAAGTTTAGCGTGACAGCCCACACTGACTGTAGCGTCGTACGCTGTCAACCTGCGAACAAGCTTGCTTGGCGCCTCGCACACCACGTCAACGTCTCGAAAACCACGTCAACGCCGAGTGAGTCACCCCACGCGCACCTTTCTCACAGGCCAGGGTGAGCAGGCAGGCAAGGCCGGCGCCGACCATGGTGCAGCTGATGGGTCGCCGCCGACCCAGCCGGTAGGTGGCGTACGTGCAAAGCGCGTACGCCGGTATCTCCACCACGCCTGCCAGCCGTCGACAGGGCGTTAGCGGGGCATGTGGTTACTCTCCGGCAGATGTCACCAACAGTCACGGTCAGTGGCGGTGCTCAACGTTAGATAGTTCAGGCGTGGATTGCTGAAAACGGGTGGGGAGCTGGTCTGAAGTATCTCTACCTTTTCAGCCACCATCATCCCAGGTCAGCACGTGAAGCACAAACACACCCACAAAAGAGGACACAAATTCATACCACTGTTGAATCGTACGTGGGACATGAAAACGCATCAGCAAAATTACGTACGTTGTTAAGTGTATTTGGGAGGAACATTATGCATATAGATAAGACAGTAGTGATAGCCTTATTCCTTGTAGAAAAACCGGGAGAATGGAGAGATAGATGCGTGGATATTTCGGCAACACCCCTTTATCGAAACCAACGTCAGAAGTAAATTTTGCCAGAAGTAGCAACGAATTCCAATATAAATACATAGAACAAAATAGAACTTCAACAGAACTATCAACGTATCTATCTCTCCATTATCCTGGTTTTTCTACGATGCATGGGGCTATTTCTATTGTCTTGTCTTTGCTTGTAACTTGTTAAAACTGCCATGACCTTTAATGAGCTCTTGCGCAGCTCTTGAAACTTGCCCAATGTCCCAGAACTTGTTTCGCGCGAACCACGATAAGCACACCTTTTTCGTACGATCACCCTGACAAACGTATTCCTGAGCAGACAGCCTCTGACGGGACTGTAGACTCACCGTCAACAAAAGCGTTATTGTATTAGCCAGCTGTCCGTAACACAGCACGCTGTCCGGAACTCACCACCGAGACAAGCGTTCAAGTAGATGTCCTCGCCAAAGTCTCCCGTGTTAAGCAATATTCCGTAGAACACCAGGCTGTTGACGAACCAGCCGAAGAAGAGACACCCGGTCACCGCCAGCATGCGCCCGTTGGTGATCAGGTCCAGACAGGCCTCGGCGCGCCGGCCGGCTCCCGCCTCGCCGCCCTGTCCCCGGCACCGCACAGGCAGTGACAGCACAGCACCCTGCCTCGTAGAGGTACAGGCTCCCGCCTCGCCGCCCTGTCCCCGGCACCGCACAGGCAGTGACAGCACAGCACCCTGCCTCGTAGAGGTACAGGCTCCCGCCTCGCCGCCCTGTCCCCGGCACCGCACAGGCAGTGACAGTATAGCGCCCTGCCTCGTGGAGGTACAGGCTCCCGCCTCGCCGCCTTGTCCCCGGCACCGCACAGACAGTGACAGCATAGCGCCATGCCTCGCGGAGGTGCAATCAAATACAGCCCACGGTATGATGTAATAGAAGGTTCAGAGGTTAAGGCGCCATTTTAGGTGAGTGTTAAGAATCCCACTACGACACAATGTTTCCCTGAAACACTGGAAAGCCGGCAAGTCGGAAACAGGAGTAAGGGATAGTTGTCGTATCTCATTGATGGTACCGTTAATCCTTATTATACCTGCAAAGGTGATTAACAACTGCATCATAAACAACCAATGTGGGCACAGAAGAAGTTTGCAATAAATGTAAAAAATGCATCAATATTGCAGATGCACATCAAGTCTTCCCATTGCTAACACTATTACGGAAGCAACATCACAGCGCATGTATGCCAACAGCGTCTCCAAATGAAGTCTTTGCTTTCCTAGAAACACATTGCCTTAGAACCCAACAGCAGTATAAGTCTTAGATACCTGAGAGACTTTGAAGTCGTCTACGGGTTGTTGCCCATTGTAGCGCCGTATTTTCTGCATGATGACTGTAGCCTCAGCCACACGCCGGCGGGATATCAGCCAGCGGGGCGATTCTGGCACCAGCCTGAGAAGCGAGCCAACGTCAGGGGTGCTGCGGTATCAGCCTGAGAACGAGCTAACGTCACAAGTACTGTAGCACCAGTCTGAGAACGAGCCAACGTCACGGGTGCTGCGGTACAGGCCCGAGGACGAGCTAACGCCAAGAATACTACAGCACCAACCTGCGAAACGAGCTAACGTCAAAAATAATGCGGCACCAGCCTGAGAACGAGCTAACGTCAGAAGTACTGCGGCACCAGCCTGAGAATGAGCTAACGTCAGGCTTGTTGCTGTACCAGCCTCAGAACGAGCTGACGTCAGGGATGCTGCGGTACCCGCCTGAGAACGAGCTAACGTCAGGAGCACTGCGGCACCAGCCTGAGAATGAGTTAACGTCAGCCTTGCTGCGGCACCAGCCCTGAGAACGAACTAACGCCAGAGGAGCTGCGGTACCGGCCGGAAGTGGACTGATGTCAGGAGAGTCCCGACACCGGCCCAAAATGCACGCATCAGAATTATTTCTGCATGACTGAAAGCATGTAATACAACAGCTCATGAGCGGACATACGTCAGCGTCTGTCAGAACGCAGCTCAGATGACGTGTAGGGCATCAAAGTCCGGATGGTACGATCAGAAGCAGGTACGACCAAAGGGACCGCACGCATCCCGAAACATGGCCGCACGTGTACAATTAGGAAACAAAACTCGCATGCAATCTTTGAAAGAAAAAAACAAACAGAAACGTGAAACATCGGAATGCACCGTCGTCGATTAAGGAACGCTCTTCACCAGAAAGTACACCACGTAGAGAACGCTGGGCAGTGAGACGGCCAGCTGCAGCATCCGCCAGTCTCGGATGAAGTAGGCGATGCCGCTGAGGGCGATGAAGCTGAAGGACATGGGCAGGAAGAAGGCGATGCCGAGCAGTACGCGCCACCTGTCGCCGACCAGCTCCATACCTGCGGCGCCAGAGCGGGCATCAGTGAGGCACAGACCACCGGGTGGCGCTGCAGAGGTGGCGGCCCAGTGCGCTGCTCTGGCGTCTAGAGGCGGACGGGGGGTGGGGGTGGGTTGAGGGTTGGGGGCGTCTCTCCTGATAAGACCCGTCGACTGACGGAGTCTCCGCGCGAGCCGATAAATCTTCGCACATGATTCCAATCCTTCAACAAATCGGTGCCAGTCTGCGACTAGTCGGGGAATGTGACCAAGCGATGTGCGACAAGTGCTTTCGGCGCTAACTTCTAACACTGCCGGGTCCATTGTACCTTTGTTATCTTGCCTATGACACTGGTAGATGATGTGGTGTTTCATAGACCGTGCGACCAATGCAGGCAGATCGAAAGCTAAAGTACCTGAAGGCAGCAGTGTTCCAAAACCATGAAGCCTGGGCATCCAGACGTATTTGGGATCTCTGTAACAGTACCTGTGTCCCCTAAGAACACTATACGTGGACCTGCCACCCTCTTGGCGCCGCACACCGACGGTTGTGTGCTGAACAAGCCGTCCCTCCGGGCGAAGCCCCGACGACACACTTCAGATCCCAACCCACATCGATCCACGTGCAGCAGGTGCGCTTACTCATGACAAAGCTGGAAGTGTAGGCGCCGATCCCGCAGAACGCCGTTAGGAAGCGCAATACCAGGAATTGCTCGACGCTGCCGGCGGCCGCGATGAGGTTGGCCAAGAACGAAGTCAGCACAATGCAGGCGAACAGAGTGGGTCTTCGACCGTACCTGCCCGGCGGACACAAACGAGGTCACAGGTAATATCGCACAGACTAGGCCACAGATAATGAATTGTCACATATGAGCCTTGCCGAGTCAGGACATGAGTTAAACCAGGCAGGGTTCCAAAGCTGCTGAACCCTGACTCAGGCAGAAGAAACTTGTGACATGTCCAGAATCGGGCTCAGGCGAAGTTATTGATTTTACAGGTAATTAAGACTCGAGTTCAGACTCACCAATCTGAAAAGTAAGGACTCTAACATGCAGCCGTTCTCCAAAATTCTGGACTGAAACTAACCTTAAACGATTTTTGGAAGCCGGACGTGTCAACTGAACTTGCATGTTCCTTTGGCCTCCAATGGCCAATCTCTAATTGGCCTCCAAATGGCAGGAATGGTGTTTCAACAGCATAACTCACGCCGTAGAGGAAAGGAGACAGTTTCATCCTAGTGCAAATCGTATATTCAATTGATAGGTCTTCACTAATGTGCTGTGCTTTGTCGTGTGTATACTGTATTACGTTGGAAAATATGGGTCAGATTCGTTTCAGCTGGCTTAAGTTGGGTTTGGTTAGTTCGGCTATGGCGCGTAAGATTCCTCATTTGCCTTGTGAAGGATTTGGGAAAGTTACAAAGCTACGTCTGCATTTGGACAGCTATTCCAATTTTCACCAGACGTTGGGTACAGCTATTACCCCAAATTAATGTCAAGTACGGTGCGTCACGTGTAACTTCCTTTTTAAGATTCAACTCCGTTGGACTCTGAGCTTGACACCCGCGAACTTGAGCACATCATTTCAGTCACCCAAACATACATGACGCCTTAGCAACGTCAAACGATCGCAGTCACCGCATTTACCAAGTGGTGCCCAAGGCCAGGAAAACTAATATAATCGAATTACTTGTGTTTGGCGCACGTCAGCACAACTTCTTGCACCAACAAACTTGAAATGGCTCTCAACGAACGTCATGCATTTAGTGCGAATTGCAAACAATAGGTTATAATCACATTTTGTGCCATGTATTACAGAACGTTGGAAAATGGCACCAGTTATGAAGAAAGTAAGATTGGGAGTCGCATAAGCTAAAAATAACGCCATAACCGAGTATGTGCGTGCAAGTTAACAATTGAAAATCACGAAAAAATATGCAAGAATATCACCAGGAAGGGCCAAAAAAGAGCAAGTAACGATATTTGGGCTCTAATCACACTGATTAGCACGACACCTCTCGACAAGCTAAAGTGCTACAAGTGAGTCTGCCAGTCGGCTACGGTGGCAATGTCGCACGGCCAGTTTGGCGGTTATTCTATACTACGCCAAAGTATCTGTAATATCTGCCATAAAAATCTAATATGAACCCGTTTTTGTTCACTGAAATGATCTATTGCGAGACTGACTGGCTTAAACTTTAATAGACTAGGACTGGGACTCGGACTCGAATTTTAAGGCCCGGATCATAGGCATAACAATGATTGGAATAGCACCCCGACTCGGGCCCATGCCACGTGCCAAGAATGGATTGGCGACGCGGACTTGGACTAGGCCTTGACTCGGTTTTTCAAGACCCAGACTCATGCTTGACAACGAGCTTCCTCGACACCTGAGATGTTCACTTTAGAAAAAAAAATATAGCCTGCGAATAATTCTGGGCAACAGTTTTTGACACGACCTTCAAGCGTCCAAGAGCCTGACTGCGAATTTGCCTCTCGACCGGCAGAAATGGATACAAGTGAAGGCCCGGTAAGCATTCAAATCGTGTGAGGACAGGAAGCGTGAAAGGTTTTAACCCGACATAGATAAGAACGAGGCTTACCTGTCAGCAGCAATCCCCCAGAACATTACTCCAAACATGATGCCGATCATGTACGTGGCTTGGGTGAGCATCTGCAACCACTTGCGCTCACACACCAGGTCCCACTGCAGAAGGCAAATAAATACGCAGTAGCAGGCTGTGGCTTCTGAGAAAGTGATAATCAACACATTCATTACTTGTTTCGTTCTAGAGATTTTGTGAACCAGGTGGGCGAGTGGAGATATCATCCAGAGTAACCGGTGCATAACCGGGAAAAGGAGCAGGAAAAAAAACGAAACCAAATGCGCGTAACACAATTTATGAACGGCCCCTGACTTGACCTGACCTGACCTAGCCACAAACAGCTGGATTTTAGAACGAAAAATCAGTTCTACACGAAACAAAAACAACTACCAGCCTCACCTCCATAATGATGGTATTGCTGTATTCTGAGGTATCATAATTCCATGCGTTGCATGGTGTTGTACTGTTGTTGCGAGTGGTGGCCCCAGTGGCCCCGCCGGCGTCTGGGATGTACGAGCTGCACTGCGAAGGCTCTCGTTCCACACCCTGAACATGAATTATTCATGTATTCGGTAGACGCATGACGCCAGTCAATCAAAAGAACACGTTATAAGGAAACAATTATTTGAGTAGTGTGTGTGCACATCTATATCAGTTTGTGCATGGATTTCCAGGATATATCCTAAATCGATTAGTCTATCATCGTTCAGTCAGTCCACCAACTACTTTTCCTTTTCGATCCGTGATACAGTCCGTTGAAATCTATTATTGGATGCATATTTTCCACATCAGTGTATACCATTGCATCATACTTCAGACTTCATTTTGTCTACTATTCCGGCCGTTTCCCCTTAAATTCTAAACTGCAGCAGCCTTCACCGTAGGCGCCATCCGCTCACCCCCCCTACAGGTCAGCGGCATGCGCCCCGCCGCTCACCGTGCGCTGGTCCGCAGGGTCCAGGTGGCGCCACTGGCTCTGGTTGCCGTGGGCGGTGGGCGACGCGCACCAGTGGTCGGCCGGCGGAGCCTGGAAGTTGATGAGCAGCACTTGCCAGCCGCACTCGATGCCCACCAGCGATAGCAGCAGTATCAGCCGCACCTGCCACCGGCCGATCTCACCGATCGCGCCCACCACGTCGTCGGCGCGATAAGCCATGGCTCTGAGAAGCAGGGCGAGTGTGACGGGATGGCTTTGAGATTGAGGACTTGTTGAACTGGCGATGTGCGTGCCTTACCCAAACGCTAGTTGCTAGCAGATTATTTCGAACTCGCTAAAACCTTCAACATTTCCATATATAATGAAGCCTGTGATCTTGCTGCCAGGAATCGGTGTAACCGACACTGTTGTGGCGTCGACCTGGCTCTCCGTGCTGTGTGACTGTGTGACGTGCTGTGCTGTGTGACCTGGCTCTCCGTGGCTCGACCTCGCCTGACGCTCCGCCTGTACCACGCTGTTAACCACGTCGACGTTGGGTTGGCCCTTGTTCCACATCGATCCTGCGTGCCGGGTGCCTTAAGATGGCTAAGGTACTTAAAGTGGTTTTGGTTGGGCTGAACGGCTTCAAATTATCACTGTTCATTGTAGAGCATTTACTGACAAGTGCCAAGAAGTAGCTGCATTTCGTTAACTGCCCATCAAGACATACCTAATACTGAACGTGACCAGTTTTCCATAGTTTCGCATTTCCGGTCGTAAATCATCAAATTAAAGATCATCCTTTGCAGTTCACAGCCTTGTGCTTCTCAAGACCCAAAAACCCTTTAGTTTCTGAGCTAAACGCCCAGGGCGTTTAGCTCAGATGTGTGCACGAAGATGTGCAGACTATTTCAGGGCTATCCGGGCATGCATAACGCCAGAGCAACGTTATTCAAATCCTGCTACCCCCATAGGGCACGGGGAACTCAAGACCATGAACGATTTATCGTCGAGCCGTTTAGATCTGGCGTCCGTAGGCACAATGTTCAAACATGATCGATACCAGTTGACTCTCCATCAACATTGCGCGATTTGAGCCAGCTCCAATCACACAACGTGTGTTGTGCAACATAATATAAGAAACCCATTGATCCTTCCTAGTTATAACGCACATAAGACTTGTAATGGAATAACTTTAAAAATCGCGATAGCCGAGCATGCGAATACAACAAACTCCTTAAACTCACTGATACATATGCAAAGAACACAATGAAAAAGGGTCAAAACACGAGCACATAATAGCAGCTCGCTTAGCAAACGCTTCCAGGGTCGTGCGCCCATCCCTTGGCGAGTTTGGAAGCACTGCACTTGAGCGCGGAGGACGGTAATTTCGCACGGCTAATTTGGCAGCGCCTCAACACCATATAAATATGCCATGACGCCATCAAATAATGACGCTTTGAAGAGCATATTTACTAAATACCGAAATTTCGTGGCCTGGAGGAGTCTTTTCCACCTAAAAGTATACCAATAGGTAAAAGTGGGCTTATTTCATGACATCTGATGGCTGCTTCAGTGTGTTTCTATGTGGAGGCATTCCCTGGCTTGACACACATATACCTTGTCATCTATCATGCGATGTGCAATATGCCATGACGCCATCAAATAATGACGCTTTGAAGAGCATATTTACTAAATACCGAAATTCGTGGTCTGGAGGAGTCTTTTCCACCTAAAAGTATACCAATAGGTAAAGTGGGCTTATTTCATGACATCTGGTACCTGCTTCAGTGTGTTTCTATGTGGAGCATTCCCTGGCTTGACACACATATACCTTGTCATCATCATGCGATGTGCAATATGCCATGATCGCCATCAAATAATGACGCTCTGAGGAGCATATTACTAAATACTGAAATTTCGTGGTCTGGAGGAATATTTTCCACCTCAAAGTATACCAATAGGTAAAAGTGGGCTTATTTCATGACGTCTGATGCCTGCTTCAGTGTGTTTCTATGTGGAGCATTCCCTGGCTTGACACACATATACCTTGTAATCATCATGCGATGTGTATGATATACGCGGCCATGGCAGCAGGCAAACCTGAACAGATTGCTGACATCATTGGCAGCGCAGCAAACCTGAACAGATCGCTGACACCATTGGCAGCGCAGCCGAGCACCAGCACGAGACACGAGACACGACGTCATACGCGTACCAAAAATGTTTTGCGGAGATAAGCCGTCGCCGTCTCTGCTGCGGTGAGGTGCTGGAGCATAATCGGCTTCCATTTAAGGAAAACTCGCGGAATTTCAAATGACATCTGAAGCGACACCCAATGCTTGCAGCGTGGTGATTCGTAGTATGTGTTGGTGCACTGCTGAGTTTCTAGCATGAGCCGAACCGCTCTGTGCAATCTGACCTATCATATTTCATATTACGACGTATGTTAATAGGGAACCGGACAGCTAAGAGCTCATCGTGGACTGTAATCTGAATCTGATGCGTCACCTGTCATTGTTCAGGGCGGCATAGCACGCAAAAATTCGGAAATATGATCAGGTTTTATTTATGTAGATGCTCGTATAAGTGGGAATATGCTCGTATAAGTGGGAATAAGCCAAAGAATGGGCAAAGCTATGTAGCTGCGCGACCTCGTCAGGATTTACATGTTACCAAAGCCCTGTTCTGTCGCAACAACATGTTCAGCCCTAAACGAAGCCACGCAGTGAATATAAACGCTATTTTTTCGGCTTTATTTCCACTTTTCACTCAACAAAGGTTATCCAACCGCACTTCACAACTGTCTTTACTGTGCTCAAAAACGCAAACCGCGCATACCATCACTCAGACAGGACGGTGACTATGTCCCTGCCCTGCTTCCCTGCTTGCACCCGCCTGTTCTCCCAGATTCGCCTGGTCCCTTCGCTGCGTCGCCGACCGCGCATGCGTGTATTACTGTTCCCGTGATCTGGAGGACAGGATTGGCGCAAAAGCGTGCCGTTGTGACCAGATCGACGTCTGTCACCGTAACTGCTGCAGATGTTTAGTGGAGAAACAGCCGGTTCATATATCGCTAATGGTTAGTCATGTTATTGGAGCAGCCGGCGTCTGCGTGAGAATGTCAATGGCGAGGGTGGCCTTGTGGTCTCCTGGTTTCCTGGTCATGCCTCGCGATGGAGCCCATGGGTAGGTTCGCCCAGCGGCGGATGTGCGCGTGACTAGCTGGAGCTAAATTATGTAATTCCAACGGAGCCTATTTATTTACATTTGGGACATTTTAAAAGATTTAATCTAAACCTTTTGAAAGTAAGGATCTCTGGGAGCATAGCTCACGCTAAGCAGTGTGTTGTTGTGTGTGCCCTAATATCTATCATCCAATCGCGCAATTCCAGGCAACGACAGAATTTAGGCGCGGAACTTCAACATGCCGCATTCGCGGCAAAGGTCCGTCCTACCTCTGACGTGAACTGACCTCTTCAGCGCGACCGCCACCACCGGTCGCGGGCCATACCTACCAAAGACAAACAGCGAGCACTTAAAGCGACTCGTACCAACCCCGCCACGGGTGGGTGAATCGGAAGGCAGGCGCTCTTACCAACTGAGCGGTGAATCGGAAGGCAGGCGCTCTTACCAACTGAGCCACCGGGACGAACAGTCCGGGGTCACAACAGTGTAGATGCTGAAATTCGCTGAAAATGTGCCTTACGCCGCGCCGGGCAATCACAAAACACGTGTAAGTGTAAGGTGCTGCACTGCTCTACTGGCCTCTGTTGAGTGGAGGAAACAGCCAACATCGAACGGTGGACGAACCGGTCAAGCGGTTAAGGCCGAGTGATTGCCCACTGAACAAGCTGGCAGGCTAGTAGCGCATGACAATTACTAGCCTGTGTCGCGTGTCGACCGGTTGTAAGATCACATGCCCTCTGTTGTTCGACCGGCCCGACCCGACCGTGTCTGCTCCTTTTTAGGTCGTCCCGTGAACTACGGATCGCTGAATTATTGTCATGCATGCGTTTTTTGTCCATTGATCCAGCTTAGAACATCACCTGTATCCACCATGGCGTTTTTCTGCAAGTAGCAATCCGATCGACGCACTGGGATAACGCGATAACAGAGCTATTGACCCAAATGTGATCATATGCTTGGACAATAATGAGAGAAGCAGATGAGAAAAAAACTGCTCTTACATCAAGAAGCGACCAGGAATCAGCTGATTAGACACCTTGCTGCACTTGCTCCAGCGGTCACTAGGCCGTGTCAAAGCCGGCCCCTTGCACGCATTCCGAGCTGGCAGCTCGGCGTACAAGGCATGTGCACGGCTCACCTGGATCTGCAGCGGTGGCACGCGGTGGTCCGCGTCCTGACCTCCTTCCGCTCTCCCGTGTCGATCACCGGGTGGTGGCAGTCACCGTCGGCTGAGCCGCTCGGCCGCTGGGCCGCTGCCAGCTGTGACGTCACCACGCTCGGCGATCGAACGGCGCACGCATGCGCGCCAGGTCAGGTGGCGAGCCCCCTGCCGGACGGCGTTCATTGGTTAGTGGAACTCATCAACAGCGAGAGGTTGGAGGGGCTCATATCAGCGGCACGGCCAAAAATCAATCATCAAAGTTCTGTTGCATTCGCCAGTTCAGTCGGGGCCATCTAACTGCAGTCGACAGTGTCGGACAAAAAGAGCAACATGTTTTAACATGTCCAGGAAACACTACAGCAGTGCGGACGGATCCAGTGTGTCTTCCAGCTTTGTTTCTCAGGCACAAGTACATAGAATGCTAATTCAGTCTCTGAGGGTCATTGCCAGACCAACGTAATATGCGTTTAAACCGACCAAAGAGGTTCCAAATATCATGAGTTCTGGAATCACAAGTTGTACTTGAAAGCATCGCTTATCAATAATAATGCACAACGAAAAATTTGCACCTGTGCAGTAGAGGTGGCATAGTCGATGTTGAGGTAGAAGTGTTGCAAGAACACTGCCTTACATTCAGTGAGCTATATTCATAAAGGGAGAGGGAGCGGGGGGGGGGGGGGGGGGGGCGGGCACTACATCAGTGTGAGTGAAGCACCAAATCTCGCTCTACATGCAACTCACCAATAACGTTTTCACAGAGAGCCCAGTGCCTTCAAGACGCGCCCGGTGGCCAGTTAAATACCCTTCACTCGGGTGGGAGGGATGGGGGGGAGGTCCATTTCACCTAATTCACAAGATGTGTTAATCTGTACGTGAAATCACTTGGGGTTAAAATATGGTGTTTCCTAGGCAGTGACCTTGAAGTCAAACAAGGTGGCTACGCCACGGCGTTAGAGAATCATGCCAGAAAAAACCTTCGAGAGAGGAGGTCAAATGGGTCCCCAAAGGTTTTTCAGAGTGATTTTGGACCTTCCTGATAGTCGCCTAACCTTATAAAGGCATACAGATCAATGATCTTGCTGACCTTTTGCTTAGAACAGGTATCTAGTTTTACAACGATTGCATGAGGATGTCTGGGAACACTTTGGCACCAATTTGGAATTCAAACTTGCTGTTATTTTATTTGACCTTTAGGTCTTGACCTAAGAACCTCAAACCTCTTCACACAAGTAAGTTTACGTGTCGGTCAATACGCCCTTTGAGTTTAGGGTCTCTTGCTATCTTAGTTTTTTTTTTAGATCTCAGGGAGTAAAATTGACCCCCAACCGAGTGAAGGGTACTGAACCGACCACCCGGGCGCGTATTGAATGGGCTGTTTCACGTTTACAGATATTGAAGCAAACATCAGATATCATGGAACAAGCTAACCTTTAACTATTGGTATGCTTTTTATGCGAAAAAAGTGTTATGGACAACACAATTCTCTGTTTGATAAATATGCTCCTCAGTGAGTCTTGGTTTGATAACGTCATCGTATCTTGCGCAACATTGATTGAAATCCAATTGACGGCCGTTATATCTGGAAATGGCGTTAACAAACGCCAGATATGAACGATTCGACGACTTTTTTATTGGCCCTGATCGCCACATTGGTTATGGAATGGCAGAGTCTGAATGACGTTACACTAACTTTATAAATGCCCAGGTGACATGGAAATGCTCTCATCGATATCTCACCATCGAAAATCTCATCATCGAAATACTCTCATCGCTCTCACCTTTCCCTATTTTTGCAGGCGTGTAGCTTAGAAACTAGAGCAGGCTCAGATCTTGGGAAGGGCAGGATTGTTAACGGCATCGACAAGACATCAAGATAGCTATTTCAGTTCTAAATCCCACATAAATAAAGAACACTCTCTTTAAAGCTAGGCACAACGGAAATTATGCCATGCCGCAAAAGTGCGAGCTGCCATAACAAACTGACTTCGTTTTCTAGCATCTTACCAGACAGGCATGGCATTTTCTTATGGGCAGACGCTCATAGCATCTTGACTTTGATGGTTTTTGTATGGACAAAACTTAAAAACGTTTTCTTTTTGTTGGCGAAGTATACGTATTGCAACAATCTGTGGATAGAGCCGCTTCGGCGTCCCATGCATTGCCACTAAAGATTCGCTCAGGTTGTCGTGGCACGACTAAACTCCATTTGAATGCACTTCAGGAACAGTAATTGCGCAATCATAGTAGTGTTGAGATGCTGCCAAAGGGTCTGAATTGCTAATATTCTCCACGTGTATGTGCGTATTTCGTTTGTGAACGAAGCCTTCATACCTATGTATTTTAACGCGACAATAAAATGTCACGTTCCTGGGGATGAGTTGTTAAACGCAGTGTGAGTGATTGAGAACAACACGATGGAAACGTATTTTAGTTATGACAAAGTCTAAGGCATGAGCAGCTGTCCGTGCCTTTCGCACGAAAGGTTGCTTCTGGGTTATAGCACGGGCTGACAGTCAGTCCAAGCTGAGTTCACGACCGAGCCCCGTTCGACGAATTTAATAGTTACACTATACACTTGGCTTGCACGGAGCGCAAGTTTGACTTGCGCTTCGCATACGCTTTCCCGTCCCGAACGCAAATTCCAGTTCTATGGGCGTATTCGTTTTGAGGGAGGTGCTTTAAATTGCAATGCATATTAATCGGGCTAATTAATGGTGCTTTACAAGCATCGGGTTTCACAAGAGTGAGAAACTAACGATAAAACACCATTGTGATCGCATTTTGATTCCAGAAATGAGTGGTCGTTGGGATGATAACACATTGAACTGCGACTTCAAAAGCATTCATTGCAAATTAGATAATTTTGAACGAGACCTTCAAACAGCTGCAGAGCATGCGAGCAAGTCGGATCCAAGGGATTGCGACATGTCTGTTGAAAATATGCTTGTCGAAAAGGTAAGTGACGGTTGCTTATTGAACGTGCGCCCAGGGTGGAGAGTCCCCTGAAAGTTATGCAAAAATATGATCGTACCTGATCCACAACTGCCGAAATTCGAGCTCGCGACGGATCATTTTTTGATTGATCTACTTTTAAAAGACTGATCACTATCTCCCTCAGAGGAGTCTGGAGGATCGCATTGACCTGCTTCAAAGAGAGCTGGACGCGCTGGACTACGAGGGGGACGACGGCACGTCGAGCAGAGGGCGTGACCCGTACCGCACCTCGTCTCCAGGGGAGCTGTCCAAAGTGAAGGAGCGAACAAAAGCTTATCAGGTACGATTAGCACATTGACAAAGTTGTGCGAATCCTAGCTCAACTAACTGCCTCTTCGCTCACAAGCTACCGTATTTTGTCGCACCACTAGATAAATATCCGTCAAATTGTTATCCCATTGCCAATGAAGAATGCATATTTCAGCACAAATATGGTGCATTTCACATTGCAGCCGGGAAAGCGTGAATCTGTGCAGCCGGGCATCGCGCCTTGGACGTAACAGCCGTTGCGGACAAACAGCGTTGAATCCGCAGTCGCCCGCGGTGCCCGTTGTGATAACATGCGAACGTAATTTGTCAGCATCTGACTAAAAGCGGAGTGTTTACGAAAAGGTTCTCAAAAGAATGGACTGAGAGTGAGCCCCCTCCCCGCAAAAATCGCACCAAGACACAAGTGTGCTGCCCAGAAAAGAGCGTCATATGGTGCAGTATTTCGCGCGCGTTGCGGAGAGTAACATGCGCCCTAATGGTCGGTTGAATACCACACGTTTGGTACTCTATTGACCCTTTGATATATAAAAAACTAAGAGATCTCAGGAGACCAAACTCAAAAGGGGGGGGGGGGTGGAGTGGCTTGTGTGTCAACTTACTTGTGTCAACATTTGAGGTTTCCAAGCCATGATCGTCTGTTCAAACAAGGTCAAACATGGTCAAACTCAGGATAAGTGTCCAAAGTAAACCAAGACATCCTCATGAATCTAGACAGCAATTTTGAGTAAAACATTAGTTGGGATGATTTTAGGTCAGTGACCTTGTTTAACCGTTAGATGAAAATGGTGACCAAAAGCCTACGAGATTGCTCCTATTTTTAGATTTAAGTGAGCTCGAAAGATAACGCTAGGTTGTACGTTTCTAAAAACGTTGATCTAAGTCATTTGATGCCAGTGACCTACACTGATATCAAAAAAAGTTCATGAAATATGTCTGTTCCTGTTCTGTTATCAGGAAATTTGAAATGAATATCAGAAACCATCCAACACAACAGGTTCTCCGGTAAAAAGCAGATTGATTTTAAACTCAGCCTGATCTTCGTACCTGACCCGAAATTAATGCCATTTGCCATAATCCTAAATCAAATTGTCTTATTATCTAACAAACTATCTCAGAGGTGCATGGCTTTGTCTAACACCCCATTGCTGCGTCAGGCTGAACAATTCCTTAGACATTGCCGTCACTGACATCCACGGCTTGGTTGGACTTGTCATAGATCAGCTAGCTTACAGGGTGTATCTGAGTGCTTGTACCAAAAGATCCGCTTCCAAATTGCCAACAGGTATGTAAAATTTAACGCGATTATGCCGCGCCTTCCGGAATTTTTCTGGAAAAGCCTTCAGGAAGGGCAAATTCCCCCCCCCCCCCCCGAGCGCGTATGGAATGGTATCAGGACCCGTCACCTCCTGTTTTTGACCCTCAGAAAGGCCAAATTGACCTCCCCCGAGCGCGTGTGGAACGGTATCAGGACTCGTCGTTTTCGAACAGATCAGGGTCCGTCGTCTCTTGTCTTTGGCCGTAAGGAGGGCCGAATTGACCTCTTCCCGAGCGCGTGTTAAACAGATC